ATTACAGAACTTTTCCCCACGATCACAAAACATTCAGGTGTCATTTCTCGGGCGAAATGTAGATAAAAAAAATAAAATCCTTTCCCCCAAAAAATTGCAAAAACCACGAGTCAAAATAGTTAAAATAAAAATAAAAAAAACAATTAAAAAAATAGCAATCAACAAAAAAATATATAAACATAAAGCTGGAGCCTGAGGACAGTGTCCAAAAGCACAACATCACTATTAATCATAAAACACCTCAAGTTATTTGAAAGTTCTGAGGACAAAGAACACACAAACACACAATGCCTCAGTGATTAACAGAACTGTTTCACAGATCACAGAACTATATCAGGGTGTCATTTCTCAGGCAGAAATGTAGATAAAAATAATGAAATCCTGTTCCCCAAACAAGTGCAAGAACCACAGAGTCAAGAATAGGTTAAATATACAAATAAAATAAAATCAATTAAAAACAATAGCACATCAACATAAAAACATATAAACATAAAGCTGGAGCCTGAGGACAGTGTCCAAAAGCACAACATCACTATTAATCATAAAACACGTCAAGTTTATTTGAAAATTCTAAAGAAAAAGAACACACAAACACACAATGCCTCAGTGATTAACAGAACTGTTTCACAGATCACAGAACTATATCAGGGTGTCATTTCTCAGGCAGAAATGTAGATAAAAATAATGAAATCCTGTTCCCCAAACAAGTGCAAGAACCACAGAGTCAAGAATAGGTTAAATATACAAATAAAATAAAATCAATTAAAAACAATAGCACATCAACATAAAAACATATAAACATAAAGCTGGAGCCTGAGGACAGTGTCCAAAAGCACAACATCACTATTAATCATAAAACACCTCAAGTTATTTGAAAGTTCTGAGGACAAAGAACACACAAACACACAATGCCTCAGTGATTAACAGAACTGTTTCACAGATCACAGAACTATATCAGGGTGTCATTTCTCAGGCAGAAATGTAGATAAAAATAATGAAATCCTGTTCCCCAAACAAGTGCAAGAACCACAGAGTCAAGAATAGGTTAAATATACAAATAAAATAAAATCAATTAAAAACAATAGCACATCAACATAAAAACATATAAACATAAAGCTGGAGCCTGAGGACAGTGTCCAAAAGCACAACATCACTATTAATCATAAAACACGTCAAGTTTATTTGAAAATTCTAAAGAAAAAGAACACACAAACACACAATGCCTCAGTGATTAACAGAACTGTTTCACAGATCACAGAACTATATCAGGGTGTCATTTCTCAGGCAGAAATGTAGATAAAAATAATGAAATCCTGTTCCCCAAACAAGTGCAAGAACCACAGAGTCAAGAATAGGTTAAATATACAAATAAAATAAAACAATTAAAAACAATAGCACATCAACATAAAAACATATAAACATAAAGCTGGAGCCTGAGGACAGTGTCCAAAAGCACAACATCACTATTAATCATAAAACACCTCAAGTTTATTTGAAAATTCTAAGAAAAAGAACACACAAACACACAATGCCTCAGTGATTAACAGAACTGTTTCACAGATCACAGAACTATATCAGGGTGTCATTTCTCAGGCAGAAATGTAGATAAAAATAATGAAATCCTGTTCCCCAAACAAGTGCAAGAACCACAGAGTCAAGAATAGGTTAAATATACAAATAAAATAAAATCAATTAAAAACAATAGCACATCAACATAAAAACATATAAACATAAAGCTGGAGCCTGAGGACAGTGTCCAAAATGCACCAACACAACTATTATCATAAAACACCTCAAGTTATTTGAAAGTTCTGAGGACAAAGAACACACAAACACACAATGCCTCAGTGATTCACAGAAGTATATCACAGATCACAGAACTATATCAGGGTGTAATTTCTCAAGCAGAAATGTAGATAAAAAGAATGAAATCCTGTTCCCCAACAAGTGCAAGAACACAGAGTCAAGAATAGGTTAATATACAAATAAAATCAATTAAAAACAATAGCACATCAACATAAAAACATCAACATAATCTGAAAGCGTTGCTCAAACTCCCGTAACAGTCCCGTTATTTTATCTTTGAACCGCTTCATGTCTGCCATATGTTGGGTCGTGCACACATTTTTCAGACAGGGAAGTGAGCTGCATCACCACCGCAAGTTGCGTCTCCCACAATGACAGCTTCAACTTGAAAGAACGTATGCTGTCATAATACTGCGTGACAACTTTGTTGCGCCCTTGCAGCTGTTTGTTCAAGTTATTCAGGTGCTCTGTAACATCCACCATAAATGCAAGGTCCTGCATCCATTCTGCGGAATGAAATTCTAACACTGGTTTGCCCTTTTCTTCCATGAACTGTTCAATTTCTTCTCGTAAATCAAAGAAACGCCTCAGCACAGCACCTCGGCTTAACCATCTTACCTCAGTGTGGTATGGCAGGCCATAGATGTGGTCTTTCTCTCTGAGAAGGCTGTCAAACTGACGGTGTTTCAGGCTTCTGGATCGGATGAAATTAACAGTTTGGATGACCACCTTCATGACGTTATCCATCTTTAATGACTTGCAACACAAAGCCTCCTGGTGCAAAATACAGTGAAAAGTCAAAAAATCACGTCCTTCATTTGCAGATTGCACTTTCGCTCTGAACTTTGTCACAACGCCTGCAACGATCATTGAGGGCGCACCATCTGTAGCCAGGCTGACAGCGCGGGACCAGTCCACTCCAACCCTGTCCAGCGCGCCGACGAGTGCGGTAAAAATATCAGCTGCTGTCGTTGTATCTGTCATCGGCACCAACTCCACGAACTCCTCGGTGACGGTCAATGTGTCATCAACTCCGCGGATGAAAATGGCCAGTTGTGCAACATCTGTAATGTCCGTGCTTTCATCAATTGCAACCGAAAACGCAACAAATGACTTTACTTTTTGCTTCAACTGGCTGTCCAAATCCACTGAAAGATCGGAAATCCTGTCTGCAACTGTGTTTCTTGTCAGGCTGATATTTGCAAAAGCCTGCCGCTTTTCAGGGCACACAATCTCCGCTGCCTTCATCATGCATGTTTTTACAAATTCACCCTCACTAAATGGTTTTGAAGCCACTGCGATTTCATTAGCAATGAGGTAGCTAGCTTTCACTGCAGCGTCACTGATGTCTCGGCTGTGAGTAAACACAGACTGCTGTTTCTTCAGACCCGCCAACAGTTCATTCACCTTCTCTCATCTCCGCTGTCCTTGAAAGTTGTCATATTTGTCGGCATGAAGACTTACATAGTGGCGACGAAGGTTATATTCTTTCAGCACTGCAACATGCTCTGAACACACCAAACATACAGCTTTCCCATTAAATTCCGTGAATAAATAGGATGACCATTTTTCTTGGAACACTCTGCACTCTGCGTCCACTTTTCTCTTTTTTGACAGAGACATATTGGGGCAATGAGGGTGCCAAAGCACATAATGTTAAAAGTAGAAGCCGTAATAAATATCGCGGGCAAAACAAAGTAGCTCATTGGCTGCACGTGCTTGACCTACTTGCTCTGCCCCGGTATAAACAGTTTGCTTGCTTAACACAATTGCTATTGCGCCATCCAGTGGACGCAATTGGAACAGCAGTTTATTTTATTGAAAAATTGCAGCGCATTTTTATACTTTACAACAACAACAACAAAAAAAAACAAAAAAAATCTTTTTTTTTCTAAATCATCTCCCGGGCCGGATTAAACCCGTTTGCGGGCCTGATCCGGCCCGCGGGCCGTACGTTTGACACCCCTGGTCTAGAATGACATTGTATGCTGTAGCGTTAAAATTTCCCTTAACTGGAACTAACAGGCCTAGCCCGAACCATGAAAAACAGCCCCAGACCATTATTCCTCCTCCACCAAACTTGACAGTTGGCACTATACATTGGGGCAGGTAGCGTTCTCCTGGCATGCGCCAATCCCAGATTTGTCCGTCGGATTGCCAGATGGTGAAGCGTGATTTATCACTCCAGAGAACACGTTTCCACTGCTCCAGAGTCCAATGGCGGCGAGCTTTACACCACTCCAGCCTACGCCTGGCATTGCACAAGGTGATGTTAGGCTTTTGTGCGGTTGCTCAGCCATGGAAACTCATTTCATGAAGCTCCCGACGAACAGTTATTGTGCTAACGTTGCTTCCAGAGGCAGTTTGGAACTCGGTAGTGTGTGTTGCAACCGAGGACGGACAATTCTTACACGCTACGCGCTTCAGCACTCGGCGGTCCCGTTCCGTGAGCTTGTGTGGCCTACCACTTCGCTGAGCCATCGTTGCTCCTAAGACATTTCCACTTCACAATAATAGCACTTACAGTTGACCAGGGCAGCTCTAGCAGGGCATACATTTTACGAACTGACTTGTTGGAAAGGTGCCATCCTTTGATGGTGCCACATTGAAAGTCGCTGAGCTCTTCAGTAAGGCCATTCTACTGCCAATGTTTGTCTATGGAGATTGCATGGCTTTGTGTTCAATTTTATACACCTGTCAGCAACGGCTAAAATAGCAGAATCTACTAATTTCAAGGGGTGTCCACATACTTTTGTATATATAGTGTATATTCTTACAATAAATATTTTTGATTAATTACCAGTCTTGCTATTTTCAATGTTCCTGATAGGTCGATATTTCATTGGGGGCAGGAGTAGAGAACCTAGACCCAGCTGTCTGGTATCTAACTCATTTGACACAGTAACAACGGGAGATCGACTGATCTGCTGCTTTATTCTTGTGGCTTTTTGGTTGCAAGCAAGTTTGTTTTAACACGCTGGTGCACGTAATCTCCAGTTAGTAGCGTTTTAAGAAATCCAGCGCTAACCTGCAGCTGCGCGTTAAGCCTGTTGGTTGCAATTTACCCAACGAGACTCCATAATTGAATGGCTATAATACTATCTTTCTTAGCACATCTATGAAGTCCAGCTGTCTGACTACACTATCCATAAAGCCATGTTTTTGACACTCACTGACTGTGTGCTCCTCTCCAGGCCCGTAATGCAGCAGGCCAGGTTGGCTATGTCCCTGAGAGGTACCTGCAGTTCCTGTGGTCACCAGGAGAGGGCTCCTCTGTCTGCCTGGCGCAGGGCTTCCCTGGTCCCCAGCTGGACTGGTCCTTCAACAGCTCCAGCTCCTCATCAGAACACTCCAAGAGGCAGCAGGGCCGCTCACCTCACTCTGGGGGTTAGTAAGGGCTCTTCTGTCTTAAGAATCATCACTAACCAGAAAGTCTCTCTCCCACCTCTGAATGTTTGTGACATGATTCATACCGTTTGGACAAGTGGCCAAATTCCAGGTTCAAGCCGTCATTGATATAACTGTGTCTCCCTCTTGTTAATCATTAGTAATGCTGTCTCCATCTTGTTAATCATTAGTAATGCTGTCTCCATCTTGTTAATCATTAGTAATGCTGTCTCCATCTTGTTAATCATTAGTAATGGTGTCTCCATCTTGTTAATCGTTAGTAATGCTGTCTCCATCTTGTTAATCGTTAGTAATGCTATCTCCATCTTGTTAGTCGTTAGTAATGGTGTCTCCATCTTGTTAATCATTAGTAATGCTGTCTCCATCTTGTTAATCGTTAGTAATGCTATCTCCATCTTGTTAATCATTAGTAATGGTGTCTCCATCTTGTTAATCATTAGTAATGCTGTCTCCATCTTGTTAATCATTAGTAATGCTGTCTCCATCTTGTTAATCGTTAGTAATGCTATCTCCATCTTGTTAATCGTTAGTAATGGTGTCTCCATCTTGTTAATCGTTAGTAATGGTGTCTCCATCTTGTTAATCATTAGTAATGCTGTCTCCATCTTGTTAATCATTAGTAATGGTGTCTCCATCTTGTTAATCGTTAGTAATGCTGTCTCCATCTTGTTAATCGTTAGTAATGCTATCTCCATCTTGTTAGTCGTTAGTAATGGTGTCTCCATCTTGTTAATCATTAGTAATGCTGTCTCCATCTTGTTAATCGTTAGTAATGCTATCTCCATCTTGTTAATCATTAGTAATGGTGTCTCCATCTTGTTAATCATTAGTAATGCTGTCTCCATCTTGTTAATCATTAGTAATGCTGTCTCCATCTTGTTAATCGTTAGTAATGCTATCTCCATCTTGTTAATCGTTAGTAATGGTGTCTCCATCTTGTTAATCGTTAGTAATGGTGTCTCCATCTTGTTAATCATTAGTAATGCTGTCTCCATCTTGTTAATCATTAGTAATGCTGTCTCCATCTTGTTAATCATTAGTAATGCTGTCTCCATCTTGTTAATTGTTAGTAATGGTGTCTCCATCTTGTTAATCATTAGTAATGCTGTCTTCATCTTGTTAATTGTTAGTAATGCTGTCTCCATCTTGTTAATCGTTAGTAATGCTATCTCCATCTTGTTAATCGTTAGTAATGGTGTCTCCATCTTGTTAATCGTTAGCAATGCTGTCTCCATCTTGTTAATCATTAGTAATGGTGTCTCCATCTTGTTAATTGTTAGTAATGGTGTCTCCATCTTGTTAATCATTAGTAATGCTGTCTCCATCTTGTTAATCATTAGTAATGCTGTCTCCATCTTGTTAATCATTAGTAATGTAAACAACATTTACCCATGTATTATTGACTTGTCTGAGTGTGTTCTGTGGTGTAGGTCTGGCACAGGCTCTGTATGAGTACCAGTCTGATGTCTGTGTGTTTGGTTCTGGTCTGGTCTGTTCTGTGGTGTAGGTCTTGCGCGGGCTCTGTATGAGTACCAGGGCCAGGGTCCAGAGGAGCTGTCCTTCCCAGAAGGGGTGGTCATCAGGCTGTTGCACTGCCGCCAGGGAGAGGTGGACGACGGCTTCTGGGAGGGAGAGCTGGACGGACGCATGGGGGTCTTTCCTTCTCTGGTGGTGGAGCTGCTGGGAGATGGGGAGGAAGAGGAAGAGGAGGAAGAGGAGGAGGAGGTGAGAGATCTGGTTAACCCTCTGAATGACACTGTTGTCAAATGTACCTGGACTCAAAACCTACAGGGAGTGATGAGAAAGAAAGCTTTGAACAAACAGTATGGATGAGGTCTAGTTGTGCAGTGTGCCACCTTGTGGTATAATACTGTACAACACATTCCATAAGACTAGTCAAATGATAGAAGATTCATCTCTGCAGAATTTGGAGTCTGTTAAAAAACTCTCTGCATTCTCAAGGGGATTACTTGGTATTATTTTCATGATCTGAATTCCCGTTGTTTCTACATTTCATTCTGCAGAGCCTTCCAACCCCTACTCTTCCTCCATTCTCTCCACCCATCCCTATCTCTGGAACACCTTGCAGTCTCCTCTGCTCCTCATCTGGCCATAAGTCCTGGTCTATAAACAGTACGCCTCCTAAGGACCCGGAGGACAGGTTGCAGGCTTCTTTCTCACTGAAAACACAGAGCCTGTCAGACAGCAGGGCAGGTGGGGATTCACTCTCAGTCATCATAGAAACCCCATAGACTTCATTAACAATGTACAGTACCACACACTGTTAGAAACCCCATAGACTTCATTAACAATGTACAGTACCACACACTGTTAGAAACCCCATAGACTTCATTAACAATGTACAGTACCACAACACTGTTTTGTTCCTTTTCTTTTCTCTGAACACTGTGTATCTGGTCTTGTTCTCTCTCATGTCCTCTCAGAGAGTGGAGGCAGCACACACAGCTCCCCTGACCTCTCAGCCAGGATTCAACCGGTATGTAGACTACACTAGGGCTGGGTAGGGTAGTGCTGGGTAGGGCTGGGCAGGCTGGGTAGGGTAGGGCTGGGCTGGTAGGAATAAGTCTGCTCTAGGCTGGTACGGGTAGGGCTGGTAGGTAGGGCTGGTAGGGCTGGCAGGGCTGGTAGGGTAGTGCTGGGCTGGATCAGTGCTGGGTTAGGGCTGGTAGGGCTAGGCAGGGCTGGGTAGGGTAGGGCTGGGTAGGGCTGGGCAGGGCTGGTAGGTAGGGTGGGCAGGGCTGGGTAGGGTAGGGCAGGGTAGGGCTGGGTAGGGCTGGGTAGGGCTGGGCTAGGGTAGGGTAGGGCTGGGTAGGGCTGGGTAGGTAGGGGTAGGCTGGGTATGGCTGGGTAGGTGCTGGGTAGGGCTGGGTAGGCTGGGTAGGGTAGGCGGTAGGGCTGGGTAGGGCTGGGCAGGGCTGGGTAGGGTAGGGCTGGGTAGGGTAGGGTAGGGCTGGGTGGTAGGCTGGGTAGGGCTGGGCAGGGCTGGGTAGGGTAGGGTAGGGCAGGGTAGGGCTGGGGTAGGGTGGTAGGGCTGGGCAGGGCTGGGTAGGGTAGGGTGGTAGGGCATGGGTAGGGCTGGGTAGGGTAGAGTAGGGCTGGGTAGGGCTGGGTAGGGTAGGGTAGTGCTGGGTAGGGCTAGGGTAGGGCTGGGTAGGGCGTAGGGCTGGGTAGGGCAGGGCTGGAGTAGGGCTGGTAGGGCTGGGTAGGGTAGGGTAGTGCTGGTAGGCAGGGTAGGGCTGGGTAGGGCTGTGCAGGGCTGGGTAGGGCAGGGCTGGGTAGGGTAGGGTAGGCGTAGGCTGGGTAGGGTGGGCAGGGCTGGTAGGTAGGGTAGGCAGGGTGGCGGGTAGGGTAGGTAGCTGGCAGGGCTTAGGGTAGGCAGGGTAGGGCAGGGTAGGGCTGGTAGGTAGGTGGGGCTGGGTAGGGCTGGGTAGGGTAGGGTGGTGCTGGGTAGGCAGGGTAAGGGCTGGGTAGGCTGCTGCAGGGCTGGGTAGGGCAGGGCTGGGTAGGGCTGGGTAGGGCTGGGTAGGGTAGGGTAGTGCTGGGTAGGGCAGGGTAGGGCTGGGTAGGGCTGTGCAGGGCTGGGTAGGGCAGGGCTGGGTAGGGCTGGGTAGGCTGGGCTGGGTAGGGGTGGATAGGGCTGGGTAGGGCTGTGCAGGGCTGGGTAGGGCAGGGCTGGGTAGAGCTGGGTAGGGCTGGGTAGGGCTGGGTAGGGTAGGCTGGGCTGGGGGTAGGGCTGGGTAGGGCTGGGCTGGGCTGGGTTTGTGCCGGTTTCTCATTTTCTTATCATATCCTTATTTGTGGTGTCCAATCATCTTGATTGAGTCTTGGAGCAGAAAGCGAGACGGCTCGGTTTTTCAATCATTATATTATGCTCCATAAGCGTGAACATGCTCTTAAATCTTTTCAGTTGATCAAATCTTCATGCAGTTTCTATTGTCTGCTGAATGCCCTCATTAAAGCTCAAAATGCACTATTACTGTAGGTACAGTGAGGAAAAAAAGTATTTGATCCCCTGCTGATTTTGTACGTTTGCCCACTGACAAAGACATGATGGGGCGGCAGGTAGCTTAGTGGTTAAGAGCGTTGTGCCAGTAACCGAAAGGTCGCTGGTTCTAATCCCCGAGCCGACTAGGTGAAAAATCTGTCGATGTGCCCTTGAGCAAGGCACTTAACCCTAATTGCTCCTGTAAGTCGCTCTGGATAAGAGCGTCTGCTAAATGACTAAAATGTAATGTAAATGTATGATCAGTCTATAATTTTAATGGTAGGTTTATTTGAACAGTGAGAGACAGAATGACAACAAAAAAATCCAGAAAAACGCATGTCAAAAATGTTATACATTGATTTGCATTTTAATGAGGGAAATAAGTATTTGACCCCTCTGCAAAACATGATTTAGTACTTGGTGGCAAAACCCTTGTTGGCAATCACAGAGGTCAGACGTTTCTTGTAGTTGGCCACCAGGTTTGCACAGATCTCAGGAGGGATTTTGTCCCACTCCTCTTTGCAGATCTTCTCCAAGTCATTAAGGTTTCGAGGCTGACGTTTGGCAACTTGAACCTTCAGCTCCCTCCACAGATTTTCTATGGGATTAAGGTCTGGAGACTGGCTAGGCCACTCCAGGACCTTAATGTGCCTCTTCTTGAGCCACTCCTTTGTTGCCTTGGCCGTGTGTTTTGGGTCATTGTCATGCTGGAATACCCATCCACGACCCATTTTCAATGTCCTGGCTGAGGGAAGGAGGTTCTCACCCAAGATTTGACAGTACATGGCCCTGTCCATCGTCCCTTTGATGCGGTGAAGTTGTCCTGTCCCCTTAGCAGAAAAACACCCCCAAAGCATAATGTTTCCACCTCCATGTTTGACAGTGGGGATGGTGTTCTTGGGGTCATAGGCAGCATTCCTCCTCCTCCAAACACGGCGAGTTGAGTTGATGCCAAAGAGCTCCATTTTGGTCTCATCTGACCACAACACTTTCACCCAGTTCTCCTCTGAATCATTCAGATGTTCATTGGCAAACTTCAGACGGGCATGTATATGTGCTTTCTTGAGCAGGGGGACCTTGCGGGCACTGCAGGATTTCAGTCCTTCACGGCGTAGTGTGTTACCAATTGTTTTCTTGGTGACTATGGTCCCAGCTGCCTTGAGATCATTGACAAGATCCTCCCGTGTAGTTCTGGGCTGATTCCTCACCGTTCTCATGATCATTGCAACTCCACGAGGTGAGATCTTGCATGGAGCCCCAGGCCGAGGGAGATTGACAGTTATTTTGTGTTTCTTCCATTTGCGAATAATCGCACCAACTGTTGTTACCTTCTCACCAAGCTGCTTGGCGATGGTCTTGTAGCCCATTCCAGCCTTGTGTAGGTCTACAATCTTGTCCCTGACATCCTTGGAGAGCTCTTTGGTCTTGGCCATGGTGGAGAGTTTGGAATCTGATTGATTGATTGCTTCTGTGGACAGGTGTCTTTTATACAGGTAACAAGATGAGATTAGGAGCACTCCCTTTAAGAGTGTGCTCCTAATCTCAGCTCGTTACCTGTATAAAAGACACCTGGGAGCCAGAAATATTTCTAATTGAGAGGGGGTCAAATACTTATTTCCCTCATTAAAATGCAAATCAATTTATAACATTTTTGACATGCGTTTTTCTGGATTTTTTTGTTGTTATTCTGTTTCTCACTATTCAAATAAACCTACTATTAAAATTATAGACTGATCATTTCTTTGTCAGTGGGCAAACGTACAAAAATCAGCAGGGGATCAAATACTTTTTTCCCTCACTGTAGAATGTTTTGTAAAACTACATTCAGTCTCTTTTGAAGCATTTCATCTGTCTGTCTTTATTCATTGTTTTGTTGTCCCAGACAAGGGCTCCCCCTCTTCCCCCGACTCAGAGACACTCCCACATGCCCTGAGGAAGCATGTGTGGGGGAGTCTTCAGAAGAGACAGAGTGGACACCACAGGAGATTCTTGTGCCTTCACTGAAAGGATTAAACACACCATCACAGGGACGTACAGTACATAGCTACCAGGTGAGCTCTGTCTCTACTTGACAGGCTACACTATTAATGAAAGTCAGTATTCTTGTATAGTTTATGTGATAATATGTCAAAAACATGGCTTCATCTGTCTCAGAGCTTCAGGGACATCATTCACCAGTTTTCAGAAGTATTACACTATCTTTTAGGAACTGATGTTTATAATTTGCGTATGATAAGATATAGGGTTATTTGAGATCCTGTAGAAAAGTGCAGTATTGTGGTTCAAATAAACTTGTGCCTGATGTTTTTACCTTGCATTATAATGTACTGTATTAATTCTACAGTAGTAAACCATATTCTACATTTCATGTTCTATTTCCATGAGAACCAGAATCAAACATGGACACTGAGATGTATTAAACAATCTTCCTGTTGTGTTTGTGCTTGTTAATATCTTACTTATGAATTACAGGATGGTTGACGTATCAGAAAGGAATGTTCGAACAATACCAAATTGTTTTAAGTCCACCGCAACAATTAGTCATATGAACACAAAGGTCAAATGCATAGCTTTAATATATACTTAGTCTGATTCCTTAAGAATTGTTCATTGTACAGCTACATTTTCACATTTGATTAATAGTATGCATATAGTATACATATGTTTTCCTCATGAGTTATTTCCAGCTTCTGTCAATGAAGACACATGCAATATATGATTCTAAGGCCATTACAAACACATGTATATATAGTTTACACTCAGTGGACACAGTGTAAGACTAAGGAGTTAGATCATTGCTGTGAACAGATAATGCACGTAGCAGCCATGACCAGCAGAGGAGACCACATCCTGGTAACACAAACAGGAAACACCTTCGACTTCACAAAAATAATACTTTGAATGGTGTGCTTTTGTTTGCCAGTTCATTTGAAAACATGAAATCTTCATTGAAATCAGTCATATTCTGTGCTTAGCAGAGCTATAACCAGATATACTAGCGTTCACATGTGTAGTTACAGTACTGTTCGCTGGTGAAACATTTATGACTGTGACATACAATCAGATATATACAGTAGTAAGCTTTTCATTTCTTGACCGTTTCACATCTCTGATGTATATTAAAGTAAACATGTCTAATGCATATAAACGCCATTGTGTTAACTGTTCTTTATTGCATATTATAATATTTTCAATGTTGATACTATCTCTACAAGGTTACACCAACAATCCCATTCACTCTGATCAGCCTTTACATTCAGAAGTGGATCACAGTAATTTAACCTGGCATTTGCTTCCTTGACAAAACATAACAATCCTTTTTTTAAATAAGTATTTAGTCACATCAAAACCTTTAATTTTCTAAGTGCAATGCATCTGTAGTAAATTAAAACAGATGTGATCAGTTTCAACAACTATTAAATTAGGACATGAAGGAAGCAAAACTAGATTAAATAATTTGGTATCAAGAGTTTCACATCATTTCCATCAGTCAAGTTAAAATCAGGAATATTATCATCGTATGGCTAAAACTGTATTCTCTGGCTAATAAGGACATATCACCTGTTGTGCAAAAAAATTAACACAGCCTTAATGTCCTGTTGACATTGAACATCATATCACACTGAAATCCCATTGGCTCTTTGTTAAAATGATGAAGTGCAGCGATAAGGAATTGGAGTCAATGAGAGAGAAGAGGTGTTGTATATCTATGAGAGAGAAGAGGTGTTGTATGTCTATGAGAGAGAAGAGGTGTTGTATGTCTATGAGAGAAGAGGTGTTGTATGTCTATGAGAGAGAAGAGGTGTTGCATGTCTATGAGAGAGAAGGGGTGTTGTATGTCTATGAGAGAGAAGAGGTGTTGTATGTCTATGAGAGAGAAGAGGTGTTGCATGTCTATGAGAGAGAAAAAATATGTGTTGTATATCTATGAGAGAGAAGAGGTGTTGTATGTCAATGAAAGAGAAGAGGTGTTGTATGTCTATGAGCGAGAAGGGGTGTTGTATGTCTATGAGAGAGAAGAGGTGTTGTATGTCTATGAAAGAGAAGAGGTGTTGTATGTCTATGAAAGAGAAGAGGTGTTGTATGTCTGAGAGAAGAGGTGTTGTATGTCTATGAGAGAGAAGAGGTGTTGTATGTCTATGAGAGAGAAGAGGTGTTGTATGTCTATGAGAGAGAAGAGGTGTTGTATGTCTATGAGAGAGAAGAGGTGTTGTATGTCTATGAGAGAGAAGAGGTGTTGTATGTCTGAGAGAGAAGAGGTGTTGTATGTCTATGAGAGAGAAGAGGTGTTGTATGTCTATGAGAGAGAAGAGGTGTTGTATGTCTGAGAGAAGAGGTGTTGTATGTCTATGAGAGAGAAGAGGTGTTGTATGTCTATGAAAGAGAAGAGGTGTTGTATGTCTGAGAGAAGAGGTGTTGTATGTCTATGAGAGAGAAGAGGTGTTGTATGTCTATGAGAGAGACACTGTTCACTACTATGGATCAGAGTCTTATTCATAATGGCACACCATAGCAAATGTTTTGCAACGGAAAACGAAAACAAGCGTTTCTTATTGGACAAATTCAGGTAGGTCCCTCCCTGTTTCGTCCCAATTGCTTCTGTTTGGTTCCTAGTAAATACACCCTTGGAAACATGTATGTTTCTGTTCAAGACTACACATTGTAACTATTAGTATGTAGTCCAGTTTGAATAGTGAAGTCACCCTGACACTAAACAAATTACCACTACAGATAAAATACCATCCTAATGATGTATATTTATCAACTGCAGTGCTAGCCTATGTTTTCTATATGAATAAGACTTCAGCTTGCACGCTGCTACTGTATGCTTCCAAGTAAACAACATAACAATAACATATTCCAGTACCTTAAACACACATTGTAAAGTCATTAGATAATAGCACTATTCAGACTGAAACATTTTGGAGTATTTGTTACGGTTGTTTAAAGACTAGCTTTTGGTTTTTTTCTCTGAGAATATCAAAAGTGACATAACTATTCTCTGTATCACGTCACTGTACCATACCCAGCATAACATTTCTCAGGGCAGGGAAACTTCTGTCCCAATGTACACCTAAGAACTTAATAAGATTGGACTCAATGGAAGAATATATGTTTCAAAGTGATCCAAGATGGACCCTTGGTCTCTCAGTCTTTTAGTCTACACAGACAGTGAATCCACAAGCTAGAATCTAGAAGCTCTGATAGATGAATCATTTTTGGCTGTATAATAATTGAGCTATCAATACCCTTGATGATAATATGTCCTAAATGACACTTGGGACTCGATTCAATTGAATCCGTATTGCTGAAGTTCAGCGCTATAGCGCGATTGAAATTTAAAGGCTGCATATGTCGACTCAATCAGAAATTACCTTTACATTTCAAGCGCTCTATAGCACTGAACTTCGCCGATACGGATTGAATCGAGCCCCTGGTAACATTTCCTCAGACCAAAATATGTCCTCTGATTTGCAAGATAACAGAGAAAGCATGAGGTTGTATAGATAGAACAACTGCTAGTGGTGACTAGATCAAAACCCGGAGTTAGCATACTCAAAGGCAGTTTCTGCCTCTAATTCCATAGTATATAGTAGAGTTACAGACCAGACTGACAAGTAGCTAGGCTACACAGATATTACCCATTGTTTGCTGTAGGTCGACTTACACTGTGGTATAGTTGAATGTTGTTGGGGTTATAGTTGATTGTTGTTGGGGGTATAGTTGATTGTTGTTGGGGGTATAGTTGATTGTTGTTGGGGTTATAGTTGATTGTTGTTGGGGTTATAGTTGATTGTTGTTGGGGGTATAGTTGATTGTTGTTGGGGGTATAGTTGATTGTTGTTGGGGTTATAGTTGATTGTTGTTGGGGTTATAGTTGATTGTTGTTGGGGGTATTGTTGATTGTTGTTGGGGTTATAGTTGATTGTTGTTGGGGGTATAGTTGATTGTTGTTGGGGTTATAGTTGATTGTTGTTGGGGGTATAGTTGATTGTTGTTGGGGGTATAGTTGATTGTTGTTGGGGGTATAGTTGATTGTTGTTGGGGTTATAGTTGATTGTTGTTGGGGTTATAGTTGATTGTTGTTGGGGTTATAGTTGATTGTTGTTGGCACAGTCTGTGAGGCCTGGGCTTGCACTGTCTGGTGATAATAGAGTAGTACTGTAGCTGTGCTGTTAGCCACATTATACAAGCGTTTAAGATCAATCCATCTGGATGGTGCCAGTGCTTACCTAACCACAACTGGTCTAGATCAATGAATAAATCACAGCCTTGCTGGTATGACCCTGTCATTTTAAAGCCATGTCACTTCATAGTTGGTGCCAGACAGTCTCAGCCAGCCTGGCATGGTGAACTCAGTTCAGTTTTGACATGGCCTGGTGAACTCAGTTCAGTTTTGACATGGCCTGTTTGGTTTACCTCCATAGTATTGCTATATATCCATTTGGCCTTGTTACAGTGGGGTGTGGACAGTCTCTCTCGCTCTCTCTCTCTCTTTCTCTCTCTCTCCTCTCTCTCGCTCACCACTTGTGCTGACTGTGTCCTGATCTCCTCTTCTCCTCCAGAGACACACCCTCCTCCTCCTGGCTGACCCGACAGTCCTTTATGTCCTCCATCTCCACCTCGTCCTCCTTCTCCTCCTCTGGGGGGCTCTGAGCCACAGCAGGCTCCTCCTCCCCCTTCACTACCTCAGCCATACACACCACAGAGACTTCCCTCTGACTGTCCGGGCTGGCTTTGACTATGGCAACACTCCCCACCTCCAGCTTGATCTCTAGAGGGCATCCGCTGGAGGGGGAGACTTTTATTGGAGTCATGGTGGCAGAGACTTTCATGTGGTCAATGATGGGGGAGACTTTCACAGGGGCCGCAGTGGGAGAGACTTTGTCGGCGTTGACAATAGCAAGGCTGTCTGTCTTGTGTTCTGGCCCTTTCGAGGTGGCTGTGGCTGAGGTTGTGAAGGGAGAGGAGGAAGGTGAGGTTTCGTCCACCTTGACAAAAGTAGTAGCATTCCTTAGAATGCTATGAGGAGCTATAGGGGACACCATTAAGGGGGTAGGGGCAGTGTAGCCCTTTAAAGGGGTAGGGGAGACTTTTCTGGAGGACAGGGCAGGGGAGACTTTCCTGGAGGACAGGGCAGGGGAGAATTTCTGGAGGACAGGGCAGGGGAGACATTTCTGGAGGACAGGGCAGGGGAGACATTTCTGGAGGACAGGGCAGGGGAGACATTTCTGGAGGACAGGGCAGGGGAGACATTTCTGGAGGACAGGGCAGGGGAGACATTTCTGGAGGACAGGGCAGGGGAGACATTTCTGGAGGACAGGGCAGGGGAGGCTTTTCTAGAGGACAGGGCAGGGGAGACTTGTATGGATGTAGGGGTGGGGGAGAGATTTAAAGGTGTAGTGTTGGAGGACACTTTTCTGGAGGACAGGGCAGGGGAGAGATGTAAGGAGGTAGGGGAGGGGGACACTATTCTGGAGGACAGGGCAGGGGAGAGATGTAAGAGGAGGGGAGGGGGACACTATTCTGGAGGACAGGGCAGGGAGAGATGTAAGGCGGGGTGGTAGTGGTGGGGAGGCTTGTACGGGTGTGTAAGGGAGGCATTGTAAAGGGGGGTAGTGGTAAGGGAGGCTTGTACAGGGGTAGTGGTAAGGGAGGCTTGTACAGGGGTAGTGGTAGGGGAGGCTTGTACAGGGGTAGTGGTAGGGGAGGCTTGTACAGGGGTTGTGGCAGGGGAGACATTAAAGGGGCTAGGGACAGGGTTAGTAGGGGAGCCTGGGGTAAGGGGGAATATTTCAGGGGTCATGGGGGTGACTTGTACTGGGGTGGTGATGGGGGAATCTTGTACCGGGGGCGTTAGGGGGGAAACTCCTGCTGGACTCATGTTGGGAGAGACCGGTTCGGGAGCCACTGTGGGGGACACTATAAAAGTGACCCTAGTGGGGGACATCTTAACATGGGCCATCTCAGTGTCGTCAGGTGCACCAGAGCCCAGGCTGGGCTGGGACGACAGGGTCTTCACAGGGTTGGAGGTCTGCACTGGAGCAGTCTTCAACGGAGCATTGAAGAGGGGTTCCTCTTCCACCACAGGCTGGCTCAGTGGCACTTTGACCCCCACTGGATCACTGCCTCTGCGCAGCGAGAACAGAACTAGACTCTTCTTCCGCTTGGCCGCGGTGGCCACCACACCGTTTGTGCTCTCCGTTTTGACATCTTTGAACATGCTCTGCAGGTTGTACCCCTCCTTCCTCTGGGGGTCCTCCTCATCCCCCTTCTCACTATCCAGGGCCTCCGATTGGTCCAACTGGTCGCCAGACCCCTGATCCTTCTTGTCCATGTGGGTGACTCGGAACCTGTAGGTATACAGACCTCAGATAGTACTGTACATCACCACACAATCACAATCCTGTTAGAAAACACGAAGTAGTGTGACTAGAGAGAAATGTGTTTGTAATGATTTACCTGGCAAAGAAATATGAAATAAATGAAGATGAATGTATTGTGTTGTCAAACACCCGTCCAATGTGACTCACCTTCCCACAGCGAACACAATGGACTCTCTCCTCTCTCCTGGCGTTCTTGGCTTATTGGTCCGAGGCACACGGCTCCGGCGCCTGGCCTTCTTGGACCGCCCTTGCACACAGAGCGTGCAGGACTTGTGGTCGAGCTGGGCGCCAGAGTGCACTGTGTGGTGATGAGGTGGAATTCCCCCCAGGCTATCTTTGCGTAGTAACCTTTCGGAAAGACAATGAAGTACCCATTCAGTCAGACATGTTTATTTTCCATTCAAACACCCTAGACCAGCGTTTTCCAAACTTGGTCCTGGGGACCCCAAGGGGTGCACTGCGCACATTTTGGTTTTTGCCCTAGCACTACACAGCTGATTCAAATACACAGCTGATCCCAGACTCCCGAGGAGCAAATCTGGGAAACGCTCTAGATCATGACTAAGCAAAAACATCCAAAGACATCTTTGTAAGCATCTAAAGCCATTTTATAAACATCTGGTTTATAGTAGCATATTTATTGGAGTCTTCCTGTGAAATATGAGTCTCTAGTGTGATCCATTAGTCCCTCTGTTCCCCTCTCTGACCGCCTCTGTCTGTGACCTCCCACCCATCAGGACTGCAGCATCTCTGAGGAGTACTGTAGCTGTACTGATGCTGTAGCTGGCTGAGAGAGGAGAGTGTGGGAAGAATACCAAAGAATGCCACGGCCCTGTAGGCTGCTGTCAGCCTGAGAGCATTATCTTGGTAAACAGACAAGAACACTAAAACCCTCACCCTAGAGGTGCCAAGTAAGAACATGGCTCTAATTAAGAAGCATAAATCTCTCCAATATGCTAGTAGCACATCACAGTTATATTATCACAGCACAACACTGGGTCTGTTTCTCTAGAATGCCCTCGATCATCTCTACCTACAATGTTTATATGAATGTGAGGAGAAGCACGTTGTTAGAGTACAGTAGTAGTAGCATACTATGTAGGACTAAGTAATAATAATAGAGACTACTTGTCTGTTTGCCTCACAACAAGGCAGTAAAGATCAGGTCATGTATCCACAAAGAGTCTCAGAGTATGAGTTTAAGTTAATAAATAAGATTGTATGGACAGATCCTAGATCTGAACTCCTACTCTGAGACACTTTGTGGTTATGGGCCTAGATCCCATAACAGAGCTGCTGAGGCCAGGACAACAGTAAGCCAGGTGGCCCCATGGGAAAGACAGCCCAAGGACACACTGCACAGCGCAGGAACAGAGGGGATGGGCGCCCCACTCCATAGCTACCCACTAGTCCCATAATTACAAGCCACACAATACAATGACTTTCTCCAGGCTCTGCCTGACTGCCACAGGTACACTGAAATGTAGACTACACCCATTATTGTGGCCTCTCTGAAAACCCAACAGCCTAAAGCAGGGGGAAACCCTGTAGTACAGTACAGGAGACCTGCATTTAAACCATATGCATTATGTACCACACAAACACTGGTTTGTTCTAGAGAAAAATAAACTAGGAGTATATTACTTGAGAGGAGTTGGTGCTCTTAAGAAAGTATGGTGCTTGTTTACCTTTGCTCTGCACTAAAAGACTTTCACCAAGGGTGATAATAACACACTGGAGTAAGACAAGGTGAATGTAAATCTACTTACATAAATAAACATAATAACTAAGGAAAAAAAAGTTGATATTAGCAATACGTACCTAGGATCATGATGTTGACATATATCCTGTTTTCCTAGCATATCCTTGAAGGCTTCCATGTTAGCTAGAAGGCAGAACACAAAAATTACACACTTTTGCTAAGCATAATTTAAATTGCAGTATTGAAGTGCCAAAGGTATTGACAAAAATGTAGTATCTATTGTGTTGTGTCCTGAGTTATTGCCTTCATTTTCAATGATGCACTTCAGGATTTGTTCAACGGTGTCTTGATTGTCCTCTTCTTCATCATCTGTAATATATGAAAGATTGTCTGATGAAGCAGCTTGCCCCCAAGCTTGCTCCATCATCATTCAAGATTATTAAAGGAAATTCTCAAAGTTATTGACCTAGACCGTTTTTCCTCACTTCAATGAAAGGAGCATATTTCTGTTTGTTTGTATGCTTTCAAGAGATTCTACTTTCTTTAAAGTCGTTTATTTCCACTGAGGCCCATGGTTTTCAAGTACCCATTAAATAAACACAAATTCAATATGGAAAATATGAATTCTTCGTGAGTGTCCAGTGTTTACATTGGACTGAATTTAATTCAAGCTGAATTAACATCCTCTAACCTGAAGAGTACCGTTTCCTGTTTGGCAAACGGCCAAGGGCCTTTGGATAAAGACAGACATGTCGGCCTCCCGAGTGACGCAGTGGTCTAAGGCACTGCATCGCAGTGCTAGCTGTGCCACTAGAGATCCTTGTTCGAGTCCAGGCTCTGTCACAGCCACGACCGGGAGACCCATGGGGTGGCGCACAATTGGCCCAGCGTCGTCCAGGTTAGGGGAGGGTTTGGCCGGCAGGGATGTTCTTGTCCCATCGCGCACTAGCGACTCCTGTGGCGGGCCGGGTGCAGTGCACGCTGACTCGGTCGCCAGGTGTACGGTGTTTCCTCCGACACATTGGTGCGGCTGGCTTCCGGGTTAAGCGGGCACTGTGTCAAGAAGCAGTGCGGCTCGGTTGGGTTGTGTTTCGGACGACGCACGACTCTCGATCTTCGCCTCTCCCGTGTCCGTACGGGAGTTGCAGCGATGGGACAAGACTGTAACTACCAATTGGATACCACAAAATTGGGGAGAAAAAGGGGGTAAAATACCAAAAAAAAGGACAGATGTCAGAAAAACGTCACACATACCACATGTATCTGCCTTAGAAAATCAATCATGGACACTTGTTAACTTCTCTAAGCCATATCCCTGACCCTGACATCAATGACCAGATCAAAACGCCAATATATATAAAACGCATTCTGACAGATCCTTGTAGATACCTACCCTTCTTGTCTGGTCCCAGTTTCTGCTCACACTCTTCATCGTCCTCCTCCTCCCCAGTCCTGCAGCGGTAGCCCTTCTTCTTCAGCAGGTGGCAGACCAGGAAGCCCAGGAGGCCCGTGATGAAGAAGAAGAAGACCAGGAGGAAGATCATATATGGGGGAGGGGGTTCCCCCACTGTCGATGCCTCCAGGTCCGTCATCCCCCAGGAGAGTCTTCACTCGCCCTCTATCTGTAGTGTAGTCCTATATAGCCAATGGGTGCACACATATGTCCTGTAGAGTCAGAAATGTAACCCTGAAGGGGGTCCCCAACAATTATCAAAAGATGTCAACTCTTGATCCACTCAGCAGCATTGATGGGCCTGTGTGCGTGGTCTTGTCTGGCCATCTGAGTCTCCTGCCATCATGTTGTGACTAGATAATCCCCCTTCTCAACTTTCTGTGCGTACCACTGGCTAGAGCCAATTTGATCTATCTCAGCAGGCAGAGAGAGCTGGGCCTGGTGGTACACATCCCCTGATGTTTTTTTTACTGAGCATTTTAGCCCACACTCACTCACTCACACACACACCGTGCTAAATTCTACAGGCCAAGAAGTGAGGATTTCATCAACCACTCATTAATTCATATTTTGTTGTATTGTACTTGATAGGTTGTAAAACCAGGTCGGCAAAATAACACAATGTTTGTACTACAATGTTATGATGTGAAATTAAGTTTAATGCTTCTGCTTACAGAGGAAATTGGTATATATTTAATAATCTATAATTTTCAGTTGAGCTCCTAATACTTACAATGCCTTCAGAAAGTATTCATACCCCTTGATGTATTCCACATTTTGTTTTGTTACAGACTGAATTCAAAATGGATTAAATTGATTTTTTTTCTCACCCATCTACACACAATACCCCATAATGACAAAGGGAAAACAAGTTTATAGAAATTTTAGCAAATGTATTGAAAATGAAATACAGAAATATCTCATTTGCATAAGTAGTCACACCACTGAGTCAATACATGTAAGAATCACCTTTGGCAGGGATTACAGCTGTGAGTCCTCCTGGAGTCTTCCTGGATTGTACAATATTTGCACATTATTCTTTTTAAATTCTTCAAGCTCTATCAAGTTGGTTGTTGATCATTGCTAGACAGCCATTTTCAAGTCTTGTCATAGATTTTCAAGACGATTTAAGTCAAAGCTGTAACTAGGCCACTTGGGAACATTAAATATCATCTTAGTAAGCAACTCCAGTGTATATTTGGCCTTGTGTTTTAGGTTATTGTCCTGCTGAAAGGTGCATTTATCTCCCAGTGTCTGTTGAAAAGCAGACTGAACCAGGTTTTCCGCTAGGATTTTGCCTGTGCTTAGCTATATTCCGTTTATTTTCATCCTAAAAACTCCATTGTCCTTGCCGATGAGAAGCATACCCATAACATGATGCAGCCACCACCATGCTTGAAACTATGAAGAGTGGTACTCAGTGATGATTTGAATTTGCCCCAAACATAACGATTTGTATTCAGGACATAAAGTTCATTTCTTTGCCAAATGTTTTGCAGTTTTACTTTTTTTCTTCTGTCATTTAGCAGACGCTCTTATGCAGAGCAACTTACAGTTAGTGAGTGCATACATTATTAATTTTTTCATACTGGCCCCCCGTGGGAATCAAACCCACAACCCTGGCGTTGCAAACGCCATGCTCTACCAACTGATCTACATCCCTGCCAGCCCCGTTGTGCGCCGCCCCATGGGTAAGTGCCCTACTGCAAACAGGATGCATGTTTTTGAATATTTCCACTCTGGCATTTAGGTTAGTACTGTGGAGTAACTACAATGTTGTTGATCCATCTTCAGTGTTCTCCTATCACAGCCATTAATCTCTGTAACCGTTTTAAAGTCACCATTGGCCTCGTGGTAAAAGTGGTTTCCTTCCTCTCCGACAACTGAGTTAGGAAGGACGCCTGCATCTTTGTAGTGACTGAGTGTTTTGATACACCATCCAAAGTGTAATTAATAACTTCACCATGCTCAAAGGGATATTCAATGCCTGTATTTTTAACCCATCTACCAATAGGTGTCCTTCTTTGCGAGGCATTGGAAAACCTCCCTGGTCTTTGTGGTTGAATCTGTGTTTGAAAATAATTTCTCGATTGAAAGACCTTACAGATAATTGTATGTGTGGGGTACAGAGATGAGGTAGTATTTAAAAAATCATGTTAAACACTATTATTGTGTCACGATCGTCGGTAAGAGAGGAGGACCAAGGCGCAGCGTTGAATGCGAACATATTTATTATAGGTGATACACGATCAAAACAACAAAACGATAACGTGACAGTCAACGGTCTAACACAAACCAACTAGAACAAGATCCCACAACTATTGTGGGAAAACAGCCTGTTTAAATGTGGTTCCCAATCAGAGACAACCAGCCACAGCTGACACTCGTTGCCTCTGACTGAGAACCACACTGGCAACATAGAAAAGAAACAACTAGACCTACAACACAGAAATCTACACACCCTGGCTCAACATAACAGTGTCCCCAGAGCCAGGGCGTGACAGTACCCCCCCCTAAAGGCGCGGACTCCGACCGCGCCAACCAAATACCACAGGGGAGGGACCGGGTGGGCACTCCGCCTAGGCGGTGGATCCGGCTCCGGGCCTGATCCCCGCTCCCTCTCCAACCCCCCAAAGTACCCCTGGTCCGGTCTGGCCCCGCTGGCCGGAGCTGGACTGCACATTGGTGGAGCGGATTGCTCTAGCTCCGGCGTGAACAGGCACGGGACGTGCCGGACTGACGACGCACACCACTGGCCCGGCGCGGGGAACAGGCACGGGCCGTGCCGGGTTGACGACGCACACCACTGGCTTGGTGTGGGGAACAGGCACGGGCCGTGCCGGGCTGACGACGCACACCACTGGCTTGGTGTGGGGAACAGGCACGGGCCGTGCCGGGCTGACGACGCACACCACTGGCTTGGTGTGGGGAGCAGGAGCGGGCCGGACCGGGCTGGCGACGCACACCACTGGCTTGGTGTGGGGAACAGGCACGGGCCGTGCCGGGCTGACGACGCACACCACTGGCTTGGTGTGGGGGGCAGGAGCGGGCCGGACTGGGCTGGCGACGCGCACCACCGGCCCGGTGTGGGGAACAGGCACGGGCCGTGCCGGGCTGACGACGCACACCACTGGCTTGGTGTGGGGAACAGGAGCGGGCCGGACCGGGCTGGAGACCCGCACCATTGGCCTGGTGCGGGGAGCAGGAACAGGCCGGACCGTACTGGGGACACACACCACCGGCCCTACGCAGGGATCTGGAACGGGCCGGACCGGACTGGTAACACACCCCAGTACCCTTCGCTGTGCCTCTACACCTTCCATCCCCTCTTCGACCAGTGGCCCCCGTAACCTGGCGGCCTCCTCTGCCAACCCGCTGGGCCGCTCTGTCGCGGTCTCCTGCTGGCCCGTCGTCCACGGCGTTAGCCCCCCCCTAAAAATGGTATGGGCTTCACTCCTACCCGTGGACCAGGTCTCCATACTTTTTGCCAGCCTTTCGCCCTTCTGCTTCCACGTCAAGCCCCTCTCTTCCTCACATGGCTTGACCCAGTCGAGGAGGCGAAGGAGATCCGCTAGAGATCTCCCAGGCGATGGCTCCTGGACTTGCTGCTTGGTCCAGTAATGGTGGGATCTTCTGTCACGATCGTCGGTAAGAGAGGAGGACCAAGGCGCAGCGTTGAATGCGAACATATTTATTATAGGTGATACACAATCAAAACAACAAAACGATAACGTGACAGTCAACGGTCTAACACAAACCAACTAGAACAAGATCCCACAACTATTGTGGGAAAACAGCCTGTTTAAATGTGGTTCCCAATCAGAGACAACCAGCCACAGCTGACACTCGTTGCCTCTGATTGAGAACCACACTGGCAACATAGAAAAGAAACAACTAGACCTACAACACAGAACTCTACACACCCTGGCTCAACATAACAGTGTCCCCAGAGCCAGGGCGTGACATATTGCACACAGAGTGAGTCCATGCAACGTATTATGTGTGTTGTTAAGCACATTTTTACTCCTGAACTTATTTAGGCTTGCCATAACAAAGGGGTTGAATACTTATTGACTCAAAACTTTTCAGCTTTTCATTTTTAATTAACTTGTAAAACCTTTTTTTTTAACAACATAATTCCACTATGACATTATGGGGTATTGTGTGTAGGCCACAGGCCAGTGACACAAAATCTCAATTTAATCCATTTTAAATTCAGGCTGTAACACAACAAAAGGTGGAAAAAGTCAAGGGGTGTGAATACTTTCTGAAGGCACTGTATAGGGCATAGACACAACCAGAAAGCCCCTCACCTCAGCAGTTCAGACATATACTCCCTAGCAGTTCCACTAGAAACAGTAGAATAATATTTCCTGTGTCCCTCTATAGAAATATGGTACATTCCCTTCTGGCTCCTCTCCCAGCCTAACATGTTTACAATATATGGGTGGAATCGGAAATGTATGGCAACTAATGCTTCTGTGAACAGAAATGTACAGTCTATCTGTCCCTCTAAATTAAACCACTTACCTATAAGGTTGTCACTGGTCTAGTGTCACTGTCACAAGAGGACAAGTCCTGTATACAGCTCTGTCATACTTACAGTACATCAATGTATAATATACTGCAGATTATCAATAAATCTGTTGAATTTTAATAAGCTAATTTGCTAACATTGAATTTGCAGCAGAAACTGGCAGGAAATGACACAAGCCAATTGAAATATAAAGCAGAATATCTCTGCATCAGCATAAGCACAGAGAATCTTGAGGTGACTCAGCAATATAATGCCCTCCATCAGGAACACAAGTTGATGATTGTGTTTTTAAAGGCCTTGTCATTGACGGGAAGCTCTGTACTCATATCATTACAAACAGCATTTTTCAGAGAGCGGAAATAATTTGATCCACTGCTAATAATAGAAAGGGTCACTTGATTCAATTGAGCCATTGATTTTTATATGTAATGCCTGCGGTTGTCAGCTATCTTTTTCCCATTTTATTTCCTAGAGATGCATATGATCATTTAAAAAACTAGCTACAAACTGGCCATTTGAATTCATAGTCTGTCATATCAAATACAGATGTAGGATCTTAATTTGAGACATTTTGCTACAGCAGGAAAATAATCTTGCAGCAACAGGAAATTTGAATTATTATGTGGATTATAATTAATGGCCATTTTTGTAGGGGTTTAAACATTTTTCGTAAGAGAAAGTGGAAATTACAAACTTCAGAAGCCTTTTTAAACCACAAATACACTACACGATTAAAATGTCCTGCCTTTACAGGAAAGTTCTCATTCAACAGGGAGATCAAATTAAGATCCCACAGCTGTATACATGACCTCTACTCACCATGGCTGACTGTTTCCACATTCTGACCCTCCTCAGTGACATACATGAGGTTTTGAATATCCATTTCCTTTCAGATAACCTTTACTATAACTTCAATAGTGAATAATGTACAGCTGTACAGTAAATGTTTTTGGGAGAGGGTAAGGGTTTAAGGGCATATTTGCATATTTGCATAACTGCATCAACATTCATGGTCTCAGTTCAAGTACAAGTCTATGGCTACATGAGTGACCCTGATCTCAGTGATGACTACCTGACACGTTACTAATCATATTACAGTTAGACCTACATGAAGGCTACAGGCTTACACAATTTAGGCTACTATAAACTAAAGACAAGCAATGGACAAGCAATGGACAGGCAAGACAGCTTCTAGGCAATGGGCCAATGGCCACTGTAGCCTTTTGGTAAGGCAGGGGACAGGTGAGCCACCTGAAAAAAAATTATAAACTCTATTTAGGATATACTTTACCTATCGATCTTAACCTATCGATCTTCCTATACTTTGTTACATATGGAAACAATGTAGCCTATTTCAAGTTTAGTTGGATTTTGTAAAGACTTGGATCACTAGGCTATTCCTTAGTTATTACACCTTTATACACCGATTATAGTGCCTCCTCTGTCGGACAGCATTATCAAGATCTACTTTTGTAAGCCTATCCTTTTAAGAAAAACTAGTGAAGTCCGTTAATTCATTGTGACATTCGTGACATTCGTGACATGGCCCGCCCGTAACAACAACCGTAGCCTAAATTGAAGACCCACAACAGAGAGAGTGACCACCCCGCAGTGCACTCCATCTTTTTCAAGTTTCAGGCGGCCTCGTGGCCCATGATGACACACCTGCCCTTGGTATTTTAAATGCGCTAGTAGCTACTGTACGACATGCACACATATGATGGAATTTTGACAAGGACAAATATGACACAACCAGACATTCTTGCTCTGGGTCTGTCTGAGTCGGAACTTGACCGAGGATGCACTTGAGTGCCTGATAGCTCCATCATCATGACTAAATCAGGCGGTCTACATAATGAATCAATGATACACTGCTGCGCCAAACTATAAATATATATATATGAATTATAATACTATAACATCATTACCATAGTAATATTATATCCATCGCATTGAATAACAACATTGTCGCAATTAATTTGCTGCATCATAGGTTCAATTGCTGACTTGAACAACACATCCGCCCATTGACAACCTATAATGAACCATTCCCTTTTACCATTATTTAACGAGCCGCAAAGCACCCTACTCACGTTCTTTCAGAAACATTAGGAACCCGTAGTAAATGTGGATGCTATCCCGATAGGTGTGTGATCTCCTGTAGTAAGTCCATTGAGATGCGCTATAGTTTTCTTCTGGCCGAACGAGAGCTGCTATGGAGTAAATGGAGGGAAGGAGATTCTGCAAGTTATTTAAAGGGAAAATAGCAAAGACATATTGTGTAACCGTTATTTTATTTTGAGGCCAGATTTTTGGAGTGTTAAATTTTTACAATTCATCCAATTGTTCCAATTAATCTATGCTAACCAGTAGATAATTGAAACAGTTCCACATTTGAAAGTGAAGCATTGAATAACTGATTTCAAAAGCCTGCATAAAGCTTACAAATGATCAAATGTGTAAGATGTTTGTGTGTGTGACTCAATAGTTGTTATAGTATTACAGTTAAAAATAAACAACAACATCTACATAGACAGGTGTATTAGACGTTTATCCTTGAACTACAATGAGATGTTGTTTCTTGAAGAATACCCCCGTAGAACAGAAGAATAGCTGGACATTTTCACACATGATATGATTAAACTAAAGTGATATCAAGCTAGTTTTGTCAGCACGATGCATTATCCACATAAAGGGGAAAACGTTTGGATAACCAGAAGGCTATGTGAAGGATATAGTCTAGTAAACACATCATATCTATATCAAATCTGCATAAAATAAGTCACACTCATCATATAAAAAAGTGAACTATGATTTTAATCACATTTACTAAGCTATTACATTTTCTCTCTCTCAACATATGATCCATAATAAAAACAACCGGACTCCCAGTCTGGACTGCCATGCATTTACTACAGTCCCCTGTAGCTCAGTTGGTAGAGCATGGCGCTTGCAACGCCAGGGTTGTGGGTTCGTTTCCCACGGGGGGCCAGTATGAAAAAAACCCTGTAAATCGCTCTGGATAAGTGCTAAATGACTAAAATGTAAATGTACTGTATGGCCGTGGAGAAAGTATTCTCCTAGCGGCTGTGATCCGTAGTACATTTCCCAAGCCCCCCTTTCTATCCCCGCCCCACAGACTGTACTGTTTGGTAGTGTCAGAGAGGAAGCGGAAGAGAGGCTCAACTCCGCGGAAAATCTGTCTTCCTCCAGCAGGTGGCGTTTTTTCGTTGTTTCGCCCACCAAGCGAGGAGTTTTTGTATGGGGGTCAATGAGTGTCAAATTTGGTCAACAAAAAAATGAATGGCTTATTTGCTATGGGAGGTTTATTTGATCGAATAGAAGTTTCGTAATGCTTAAGTTGTTATGAGTGTACTGATATAAGTAGGTCACATGGCACCCCAATGGTGGAACAAGCTCCCTCACGACGCCAGGACAGCGGAGTCACTCACCACCTTCCGGAGACATTTGAAACCCCACCTCTTTAAGGAATACCTGGGATAGGCTAAAGTATTCCTTCTAACCCCCCCCCCCAAATTGTAAAGTGGTTATCCCACTGGCTATAGGGTGAACGCACCAATTTGTGAGTCGCTCTGGCTAAGAGCGTCTGCTAAATGACGTTAATGTGCCCTTGAGCAAGGCACTTAACCCTAATTGCTCCTGTAAGTCGCTCTGGTTAAGAGCGTCTGCTAAATGACTAAAATGTAATGTAAATGTCCCGGCAACTTTGAGAAGGAAAAAAAACGTTATATCGGAGTTGTCTTGAGATGGCTATGCATGACAAGAGGCTAGTAGTATAGCGTCTCTCTCCATTGAATACAGGCGGTTGACCTCAACAACCCTAATCGAATATTTAAAACTAGATTAAAATAATGAGATGCCAATAAAGCCCCTTAAATTGAAATTGTATCCACCAATCCACAGAGAGGATAGGTAGGAGCTAGACAGCCCGCCATTCCGCTTTGTGGACAACGACTCCCATTGTTAGGGCGGAGAGACATCTGTCTTGTCAGTATATCCATTAGCTTTGGTACTGTCTTTGCCCGCCCCCTTCGCTTGTCGCTGGACAATGACGTACGTTTTACTCGCTGTTTACAATTGCGACTGCTTGCTAAATGAAGGAAAGATACATTTACAGTAGCTAACAAATACCCAGTGAACGGTAGAAAAACCAAGAAGGCTCCTTTGCAATGTCCAACAGAACAGCATATTTTTATGATCCGGACGTGGGGAACTTTCATTATGGTAAGAATAATTTTGATTACAAAAGGCAAAGAGCATTAGGAAGCCGGCTAGCTAACTATTTACATTTTAGTTATTTAGCAGACGCTCGTATCCAGAGCGACTTACAGGAGCAATTAGAGCTAAGTGCCTTGCTCAATGGCATATTGACTGATTTTCAGCTTGTCAACTCGGGGATTCGAACCAGCGACCTTTCGGTAACTGGCCCAACGCTCTTAACCGCTAGGCTACCAGCCGCCATATTTTCTCTTTAATTTGTGATGATCGAGATAGCTAGTATTAGATTCTTATTTCTGCTAGCAATCAGGTGAATTGATCTCGCTGCGAACTCGCTAACGTTACTAGCTATTAGTCGTGTGTTTGCAAGAGTTTATTTATTCTACAGCTATTTAACTGGCTCGTTATGAATGATAGCATCACGCAGAAGAACCACAGAGAAATCAAGACATTGATAACTTCATATGAGAGGACAACACACTGAAACATGTTTTCCATTCCTTATCAAGGTGCAGGTCACCCTATGAAACCCCATCGTCTCTCTCTGACGCACAGCCTTGTTTTGCACTATGGCCTCTACAAAAAGATGCAGGTAAGTCTTGCTGATGGTAACATGCTGAAAAGTACCAGGAATGTAATCATTAGTCCAAACAGTTTTGCAACTAAAACGAGAGTTTCTATAGGACAAATTCAGGTAGGTCCCTCCCCGTTTAGGTATGTTTGCTTCCGTTTGAGAAACGTTTTGCAATAAAATCAGCTAATGAATATGCCCTGATGAAACCAGACACATTCATGTCCTTCTTGACACCATGTTAATTTGACTGGTCCTTGTTTCACAGGTTTTCAAACCATACAAAGCCTCACAACATGACATGTGCCGATTCCACTCAGAAGATTACATAGACTTTCTGCAGAAGGTCAGCCCCAACAATATGCAGGGTTTCACAAAGAGTCTCAACACCTTTAATGTTGGGGATGACTGGTGAGAATGTTGTATCCATCTTCTATACAGTATTAGCTTACATTACTCCCTGGCTTATATATGGATTCATCTGTGACTTTAAGATATTTTGTGTGAAATACATATTTGTCAAAGTGCAGAATGTTGTTTTGACTTATGTAATATTATGATCAGTGTAATGTGCAGCTGTTGATCTATCTATGTGGCTTGTATAAAGGTAACGTGTCCTCTGTCAGCCCTGTATTCCCAGGCCTGTTTGAGTTCTGCTCCAGGTATACAGGAGCATCTCTACAGGGAGCAACACAGCTAAACCACAAGGTATGCTCCACCCCCCCCCCCCCCCCCCAATTGTTTTGGGGAAAACAGCAAGCTCAGCTTCTTTTCTGTTTATAAATGTATTATATTTACTGATCGGACATATTTATTAAGACCCATTCAGCAATTTATACAGCCAGGTAAATTGTTGACCACATTTAGATTTGATCAATGATTGGGACCATTGCTTTGCAGATATGTGACATCGCCATCAACTGGGCCGGGGGTCTTCATCATGCCAAGAAATTTGAAGTAAGAATTATGCGACATTTGTCAAGACAAATTACTTCTACAGCCTCTGGTCATCTTGTAACCTACCTATGTTTATTTATTTATTTATTCAACTAGGCAAGTCAGTTAAGAACAAATTCTTATTTACAATGACGTCCTACCTCAGCCAAACCCGGAAGATGGGACTCCCAATCACAGCCGGATTGTGATACAGCCTGGAATCAAACCAGGATCTGTAGTGATGCCTCTAGCACTGAGATCCAGTGCCTTAGACTGCTGTGCCACTCAGGAGCACTATGTACAGCTCTGTGAGATTATGATTTTATTTGTTTTGATTTTCACAGGCCTCTGGATTTTGCTATGTGAACGACATTGTCATCAGTATACTGGAGCTTCTGAAGTAAGAGCAAAGCACCCCTACAGTCTTTGTATTTGACTATTTCCTAATTATTATGTTTTGTCCTTTTTGTGGGTTCACGTCCCGCTAAGGATCTCTAACAACTAATAATGTGTAAATGTCCCTTTAGGTACCACCCGCGTGTGTTGTACATAGACATTGACATTCACCATGGCGATGGGGTGCAGGAAGCCTTCTACCTGACTGATCGGGTCATGACTGTATCCTTCCACAAGTACGGGAACTACTTCTTTCCAGGAACAGGTAAGACAAGCCATATGAGAAATACAGATACAGTTTGTCTTAATGACTAAATGATTGAATATCTCTATGGGACAATAGAGATTTGTCTTAATGAGCTTATTCTTTGTTAAACAAATGTTTTTGAATGTTTTGTCCCATAGGTGACATGTATGAGGTAGGGGCAGAGAGTGGCCGGTACTACTGCCTGAATGTGCCTCTCCGGGATGGGATCGATGACCAGAGTGAGTAGTGTCCTTCCTGGATCCCCCACTCAGGCTGGCTCTCTGGCGCTCCACTCTGATAATGCTATTAGACTGAGGCCAGTGAGATGCCTCTGGGGAGTGCTATTATCAGATGCTGCCTGACTATTAGTTTACCTGCTCTCTAAACTATTACCATCTCTCTAATGGCTGTTACAGTTCACCTGCTCTCTAAACTATTACCATCTCTCTGATGGCTGTTACAGTTCAGAAGGTCTGATAGTATGCAGGATAATATCCAATCCAACGACAGATGTTTCCTTATTTTTGATAGGGGATCAATTATATCGCTTTGTAAATGGCAAGAATGATTGAAAGGATGAATTCTCTTCAATGTGTCCAATACCTTAACATTATAGCACTCTGTTTCTTAGGCTACAGGCAACTCTTTCAGCCAGTCATCAAGCAAGTGGTGGACTTTTACCAGCCAACCTGTATCGTTCTTCAGGTGAGCATTTGGCAGCCAGAGATCATCAGTGCCATTTTGCATGAATTGTGGTATTGAGTATGGGACTCACATGCACCTCTTGTCATTGACAGTGTGGGGCTGACTCGCTGGGCTGTGACAGATTAGGGTGCTTCAACCTCAGTATACGAGGCCATGGGTAAGTGTCTTGCTCTACAAATAATACATTATAACCCTCACCAACACTTACATCACAGTATTAAATGGCCTTTGAATACAGCCTTATGGGTAAGTGTCTTAATAGTGAAAAGGATACATGTTTGGTGGATGGAATTCAATGTAGTCTATAATATGAGGATGTACTGCCACCTGCTGGTAGGAGGGCAAATTTAAAGGACAATAGAAAACAACCAATCCTGTACCAACTGACACAGGAGCCAGGTTATGGTAAACTCTCTCACCCAGGGTATATGTTTCTATAGGGAGTGTGTGGAGTTTGTGAAGAGCTTCAGGATTCCACTGCTGGTACTGGGAGGAGGAGGGTACACAGTACGCAACGTGGCCAGATGCTGGTAAGAGCTAATTTCTCTCATTGCTGTAACTGGACTATAGTGTGGAGGTTAGGTGAGAGTTGTTTTTGATGGAGACCAAGAGATGATGTTCTCACAGTGTATATGGAACCACTTAAGAATGAACTCTGTTGCTCTTCTATTCCAGGACATATGAGACCTCCCTCCTGGTTGATGAGCCAATTAGTGATGAGCTGCCTTATAGCGGTAAGTGAGCAAGCCTTTTGGCTTGATAATGACTAAGCTCTTCTGCCACTTTTTCCATTTGCTCTTTTTCTCTCCTCACCCCTCCAGAGTACTTTGAGTATTTTGCTCCAGACTTCACGCTCCACCCAGACGTCAGCACCAGGATAGAGAACCAGAACTCCAGACAGGTCAGTTTGAGAACATAGAGCATGCGGTCTCCCTCTCTCTTTCTGAACCACAGTCTATATACTGTTTAACAATTCAAACCATTATTGAATATATGTGTGGTCATGATCAGAATTCTCTCCATGGTGTAAGTCATTTATCTCCATCTTGTGCTTGTTTAGTACCTGGAACAGATCCGTTCGACGGTCTTTGAGAACTTGAAGATGTTGAACCATTCCCCCAGTGTCCAGATCCACGATGTGCCCTCGGACATCCTGAGCTACGAGCGCACTGATGAGGGAGACCCAGATGAGAGGGGGTCAGAGGACAACTATTCCAGGTCAACACACTCGGTCTGCCTTATGTGACACTAGACCTGGGCGATATGGGGAAGAAAATCCATATCGCAATAAATTGACAAATTGTTTGCGCTAACGATAAATCAATGATTAATTCTTTTTTGGGGAGGTGCTGGAGCAAGGCGATATGGACAAAAAGTCAAATTGTGATAAATGTAACTATTTTACACAATAACAAATAAATAAAAATGTAATGGACAGTTACTTTGCATTAGCGGCAGGGCTCTAGCCAACAACAAAAAATTCCAGTGCCAAATAAGAAAACTGAGATAGTAGCCTATGATTAAAAAAGTAAGCTTTTTCATCTAAACATATCCAGGGAATGCATGATGGATATTTTTATATGCAACCTGTCAAAATAGGATCTAGATTTATTTTTGTCTCTTCAGAGAATTTGCTAAATCTTTGTGCAATATTATTCACCACCTGAGGAAGTGGGAACTCAAAACACTAGATTGCTAACTCTAAATATGATATTGTTGCTATGTAGCCATGAAGGCTAATTGATTAATCTATCAGTAAATCTAGGCGAATGTCCTACATAAACTTTCCAGCACTAGGCCTAGGCTACTTGATGTAGGCCTATTCATTGCAAATCGCGATCTGCTCTGCAGGCGCAACAAAACCACAGCCTACACTACAGCCTACTCCGGTTCTAAAGTGGTGTCATGAACTCACTATTAAGAGGTGAGAAAATGTTACACAAAGCTGTGACTTTCCTCTTAAAAAAACTATTTTTCCCACAATAGCATTTTGAGCAATGGTCATATGCTTGTGCTTTTCAGAATGCATCGCTCCCTCCTCCGTGTCACAGTGGGGAGAGGGAGTAGCTCGCTCACACAGCAGCCGACAGCCAAACAGGGCCAGGCAGATACTTTCATAGCAGGAATCAACATAATGCAAAGCTCATTACTGTTGACCAAATATTTGTTTTAGAACAATCTACAGGAGTGTTGTGTAGCAAAATCACAGAATATTACCGAAGTAAGCAAAATGCCTCAGTTAGAGGAAGGCAGTGTAATATGCTCCTCTGTGACACACACAGGAGCATATGTTCTATCATATACATATTAGTAATGGAATCAATATGACCAGTTTAGGGACGGGATTCAATCCTATTGCGGATTTGGACAATGCGCCATTTAAAGGTAATTTCCGATTGAGCCGACAAATGCAGCGTTTACCGTGGATGTGGTCTCTGCCCGCACGGGAACATTGTCTTTAAAATGTGCATCGCTGACAAAACGCGATTGGATTGAATCGCAGCCTTGGTTTACGTGTATATAGTATCAGTGTGAACAACTGAAAATGTTACGGTGTGTGATAGAACGTTCTGGAACTAAATCGCGTGTTCTCTTTACAGGCCAGAGGCAGCCAATGAGTTCTACGATGGTGACCATGACAACGACAAGGAGAGCGATGTGGAGATCTGAACGCTCAGTTCATGTCAGACTTTTCCCTCTGATCGCTCTCATGATATTATTGGGAAACCATCACCAAGGCTGCAGTCTCTAAGGAGAGTTGACCAAACTTCTTCTGCCCAACAAATGGACTATTCAACAATCCCCATCTCATGGACATGACCATACTATACTCAGAGCAAGAGACTACCACCATGAATGTTTACTATATGTCTATCATTGAGTATGTAGAGGACATCACCATGAGCAGTTCTATTGACAAGCACTTCAAATCAAATATTATTAGTCACATGCTTTGTAAACAGGTGTAGACTAACAGTGAAATGCTTACTTACGGGTTACTTACACGTAATAAATACACAAAGAGTAACGATAACATGGCTATATACACAGGGTACCAGTAACGAGTCGATGTGCAGGGGTACGAGGTAATTGAGGTAGATATGTACATATAACTAGGGATAAAGTGACTAGGCAACAGGATAGATAAACAGTAGCAGCAATGTGTGATGAGTCAAAAGCCACCTTCTGACTCCCCTGAAGAAGACAGCCTAGAGGTGCCCAAAACAATAATGTACTGAAACGTTATGTCCTCTGTTATACGGTTTATGAAATGTCTGGGCTTTATTCATCAGCACAGGATAAGAGAGGAAGAGACTTCCCCTTGATCCTAAAGGTTGTTCTGTTAACGGTCCAAAGGGGGTTGACTTCCTGTGGTTACTACCTGTTGCTAGGTGCTGTGTTGAAAGGGACTTGGGTCAGTCTTATATTGCCAGTTTTCACTTCACACACTGGGATCACAGAGGTCCGTCATCTGAATAACAAGTAAAAATGTTTCAAAATCTGAATCTTTTTCTTTTTTCCAAAAAAGAAATAGCAAAACTGCATAGCTACAATGCTTCACATCTATAAGAACTCAATTTGATATTTATATTTTGAAAGTGAAATGAGACCACCACCTGTATTGTCAGTAAAACTTTATTACGCATTCATTCAATTTCACATCATACACAGTACATAAGACTTCACAAAACGTTTTTCTATGGTCAGAATCAGACCGAGGTTGTTGTAAATTTGGGTGTTAAGGCAACCTTTTACATTTCAGAAGTAATTGTCCAATAAATAGCTTTTATATTAAAATCATTTGACCTTTTAAACACAGAAATAGACACACGTTCTCACTTGAAGCAGCAGTCATAAAAATGCTGCTTTTCCTAAAGGAACTTCAAAAGATAGTTACATGTCTGGAGACAATACATGATTAATTCTCTATCAACTAGAACAGCAAACCACAGAGACAACATTTGACAAAGGTCTGTGCAAAGTCCAGAGCTCCAGCCAGGTAGGCTTCACCATACTAATACAGGATGATGATGGGGAAGCCATCTGACCAGCCCACCCTTGAAAAAAACCAGAAGGTCTCAAACTAAAGTGTATTTGACAAATGCGGGACTGGTGAGGTGTCCTGGATTGAGACTGAGGCAGTGTGGGTAAAATGTGAGTCTATCTGCCCCCAGACACAGACAACAGGACCGCCTCAGTAGACAGACAGACCGGTGGAGCAGAGGGGTACAACACAGGTTATTATACTGCTGGGTTAGTGTCGTCTAAAGCTCCTCACTCTCGTACAGGGGGGCCGTGTGCTGGGGGGGGTCCGGAGTCAGGATGGGGAGATGGCTGAGGAGGGGGATTTTAAAATGCTTGCCTTTAGGGGGGGCAGGCTTGTTGGTGCGAGCTGCAGAGACAGAATGGAATACAAAGGTCAGGATATATTCAGAATAGACCCCTTGAACCTCTAATGCAATAATAACACAGAGGAAATGTTGTGTTTGAGCCAGGTAATAAAACAACCTTTAAATAAAGCCAGTCATTGTCATAAATGTTACCAACCTATTATTTTAAACAATCTGAGAAATGGTTGGATCTCCTAATCCACAGGAGGAGGAATGTGTTGCTATCCTAAGAGAGTTTCCTAAAATAACTCCAAAGAGAAACCGCTCATATAAGAGCCATTATAAAAGCTTATATAAGATATTAAGCCCCAGCTCCAGTTACAGGTTCAACCCTTGGGGGTCGAAAGACAAGCTTTCCTTCTGGCCAGCAGAGTACACGGCTAAATGTTACTGCACAGTTGGAGCCGGATATTACAGCCCGCGTTGAGGACAGATGAAAATAATATGCACTCTCACCTGATCAATTACAGACTTGACTTCTTCAGCGAGCTACGCTGAATGGAGGTAAACCTCACCATGGCCGTTCTCGGTGCGCGTAACAGATGGCATGTTATGTGATCGAGGAGAAATACAATAGCCAGCCAGGCACAATGAATACAGCGGCCTCTCATTTTCCTACTAATAATATATCCGCTATGGGTTTCTATCAGCCTTAACAACCTGCCATGGCAACCATTTGCGGGACGGGGGATAAATGACAGGGAATTACCCTCTATTCACACTGTGGAGAAACGCAAGATAGAAAGAGGCCCCTCTCCTTCATTCTAACAGGAGAAAGTGCTACAAATATTGAATAACAGACCATTTCCCCCTGCTGTTACAGTACATAAGTTATTGTACAACACTGGTAATTCATAGTACATTAGTGTAGTATGCCATTGCCATTTCAATGCCCTGCCATAGCAGACATTGTGAGTGCAAGGTTACAGCATTGTCTGTCTCGGATGTAAACAGCGCTGTAATCCCTGCTTGTCCCACTAGTGTAGATGTCAGCAGGTTGATGGCCACAGCATTTATGTGGTGTTTATGAGTTGAATTCTAAACATCTACCATACAGTAATAGGTAATGGACAGGGAACGGACAATTTAACTCTGAACTGAACACTAGTCTGTGCTTAACTTCAAGCCACAAACACAAACCATGCATGCACAAACGCACAAGGTCCACTTACTTCCTACGTCCAGTCTGGCGTTGCAGGTTGACATGCCGGCCTCGTTGATGGCAGACAGGGTGTACCAGCCTGCATCAGATTTGACTAACCTCTCAATGAGCAGGCACTGACTTCCTGTACCGTCCTGGTACAGGCTGGGAGACAAACATCAGGCCTGGGTTAACCCCTTATGGAATCAACAGAACCTCTCACTTTCAGCTAAGAGAGGTTCACGTTACCTAGCAAAGCTATATCAGCTAATGACCACAAATACACTTCAGCTAGATTCAACTCAGCTAAGGACCAGAAATTACAATCTCTACCGGGAGTATTTCTCCTTCTAAAAAAGGTATAAAAACATCCTGAAAGTGATGGAATTGAAGCTCCACCCACCTCATCCTGGTGGGGTCAATGCGCAGCATGTCTTTGTCCTTTTTCCAGAAGAGCTTTGGTGGAGGGGAGGCAGCCACCTTACACTCTAACCTCACTGTGTCCCCCTCCAGGGCACGAGAGTTCAGCATCTTCTGGACGAAGGTAGGGGGGCGAAGCACCTCCTGGGCTGGAGAGGAGATGAGGGGTTGGGGTGAAGGTGGAGCAATGTCAGAGCATCAATGCTAAGCGATGGGAAATGGGAGATGATTTGACAGTAGTCAAAACAGCCCTTACCGATAACCTCCAGTTTCATGGAGAAGCGGTTCTCCCCGGCGCGGTTCCTGGCAATACACTCGTAGACTCCAGCGTGATGCACCGTAACGATCTCGATGATGAAGGAGTGCATGCCCTTCTCACACACCAGCATCTTGTGGTAGTCATCCGGACGGATGGCTTTACCATCCAGGTACCAGGACACGTCTGGGGTGGGCAGACCCCCCACCTGAGGGCACAACCAGAGGTGTATTCATTAGGGGGAAAAAAAAAGACAAACAGGGAGGGACAACCTGAACTTGTCCAACAAGAAAATAAATTGCTACGGTGTGTGCTAATGAATACGACCCTGGCCTTGAGGAGTGAGGGACCCAGGGACTGTAGTCTGGCCTACTAGAGGGCCATGAGGGGGCGTAGTGCAGGGGCCCAGAGTGGGGGCGGGATAGGGAGTAAAGCGCAACTTTTACAACCTGGTTATTCTGTCCACAGGGGCCATTGGGTTTCATGTTTGGTTTCCAGAGGCTTTCATTACACTTGAATAAAAGTGTTGCATGAGTCAGTGTCAAAGTTCAACGAGGTCTTTACAGAAGATACCTCAGCTATAAATGTTGAATGAGTCCAGTTATCAACAGGCATTACTAAACTGATTAGAGCGTATCCAGTACTGTACCTTGAAGTCGATCCTACAGAACCTGCCCTCCTCCACCGTGAGGTCCTGGGGGACCTGGATGAAGCGTGGGGCATAGCACTTCTCCTGGATGGCTGAGCCCTCGTTGCCATCAGTACCAGAGTGGTGTTTTCCCCTTGAAAAGAAATTAGAGAATGAGAGCGAGATTGAGAGAGCGAGAGAGAATGAGTGAGTGAATGAGAGAGAGAGAGAGAGAGACCGAGAGATAGAATGAAAGAGCGAGAAGAGAAGAGAGAGTGAGCAAATGAGAGAGGGAAGAGAAAGGAGAGAGAATGAAAGAGCGAGAGAGAACACAGAGGAGCTTTCATTCATAACTGCTCTGATAGCTGACTGAATGAGGGAGTTTTCATGCAGACAACAGAGCTCACTTCTCATATTTCAGGTTCAGAGAGCTAATTGAACTAATTGATAACAGGGTCAAATGCTGCATCACCATTCATGCTGAACGACGGTACAGAAAACCCCCATAACATTGACAAACAAATGAACAACAAGTCCATCCATGGGTCCTAAACCAACTCCAAGCAGCACAGCATGTGCCCTTTACATACAATACATCATTGGAAGACAAGGCAATCCCAGGAAAGACCAGTGAGGAAGCCACACAGCCATAGAGACATGTCAGCTCACTCAGTACATGGTCTATAATTGTCCTCGTTACGGCATTGCCGGGGGGGGGACCGGAGCCCGTGGTAGACGGTGGAAATGGCACACAAACACATGGCAGTGGCAGGAAACCCAACCTGGATTAGACAACCTGCCTCCCAATCCCAGACCCCATTCACCCTCACGTGGAGCACTGTGCTCCTCTTTCTAGTATCCTCTTATCGTCTACTGCTTCATTATGTAATGCGGTACACATTCCATACCAGCAAAACTGTATACCAATATGTAATGTACTATCACTGTATGCACAAGCTTTTGCCGTCCGTTGGTGAAATGTACCATATTCCTCCGGTGTTACGTCCCTCTGGTGATTCTGGCTGCAAGACAGAGGACAGAGATTTGGGAATTAAAATTATGCAATGGACCCGTCTGTGTGTAAAACCATTCCCATACTGTATATAGGGAGTGATTCATCTCTGCCTCTACACTAGCCAACACTAAAGTTCACCCACAAATCTTCTCCTGAAATGCATTACTTTGAAACAACCTCTTTAAATAACCAGACTTGCTAATCTTTCTAAGTACATGACACTATGCCTAGGGCAATGGGGTGGTTGGATGTAGGGGGCTAGGGGCTATACCCGTGGGGTGGGCACACGTGTTGTACTATGTGTGTGGTCTCTTCCTGGCATCCTACATTACAAATCCCTGGGAAAATGCTGCTTTGGCACACAATCTTCACCCCTGCTATTTCTAGCTGCATTCTTAGAAGAGGGCTGTGGATTGGCTGTAGACTTATCTCCTGTGACTGAAGAGGACAACAGAGCCAGAGGCCAGTCCCATTGTGTGAGGAGGATTCAGGGGTGATGGACAGTGACAGGGGACTAGTCACACATAGTACAGGGAACATTCCAGCTAACCTAAAATCCACATAGTATTAGTAACGACAGCTCCCAGCCTGACAAACTTTTATCAGAATATCTGGAAACATACAGTAGTATGGCAAAATATGGATCCTTTAAATACAATCACTTGAGCTAAGATAACTACTTTATTGAGGAAAAGTGTACTTTCTATGCCTGTGATATGTGGTTGTCCCACCTAGCTATCTTAAGATGAATGCACTAACAGGAAGTCTCTCTCGATAAGAGCGTCTGCTAAAGTACTCAAATGTAAATGTCTAAGTGTAGGCATCGCCTTAAATAACTTCCTGCAAACCAAATGGGCTGTAATGGATGATGTAGAAGTGATATGCGTAGATTATACCTGGTCGGGTTGTGAGGAATTCTCAAAGTCAAAGACAGAGGCAGCGTTATCTGGACCCAGCAACCTCCGAGCCATGCGCTCCTCATAGGACAGCTTCTGTCAGGAGACAGACAGGAAACCAGCCACTGGTCAGTCAGTATACTGTATAATACCAGTAAACCAGCCAATGGTCAGCCAGTATACTGCAAAAGTGCCAGTAGGTCCCAATTTGCTAATTGGAAGCAATATGGTGGAACCTCCACCACTGAACTGTTTATACTTATTAAGACGCTTCAGATCTGCAAACATCGAAGGGTTATGGATACATTGGAAGGGGTAGAGAGTGAATTGGGACCGGCTATGCCAGTAAATCTGTCCATAGAGCAGCCTCCAATGTTATTGGATACACTTCAACACAACAGCTACCTTGTGTTGATTATAGTACACTGGTCCACCAAGCCCCTGTGATTCCACAGAAGCCTCTATTTATTGGAAGTTGGACTCTACTGAAGGATGAACCTGGCATCAAGGATATGGTTTGTCCTTGACTTTAATTACATGAATACGGGAAGGCTACAAGGGAATGATACATAACTAAATCCATATTTCCCTCTTGCATAGTTGCCAGTGCAACATTGTGGTATTAAATGGTCTGATGATGTATGATGGCATGGGTTCAAATCAAATGGGAACCACACATTTTCATGTACAATATTCATGTGGTAGTGGAGTAAACAAATATAGTGAGGGAAAAAAGTATTTGATCCCCTGCTGATTTTGTACGTTTGCCCACTGACAAAGAAATGATTAGTCTATAATTTTAATGGTAGGTTTATTTGAACAGAGAGAGACAGAATAACAACAAAAATATCCAGAAAAACGCATGTCAAAAATGTTATAAATTGATTTGCATTTTAATGAGGGAAATAAGTATTTGACCCCCCTCTCAATCAGAAAGATTTCTGGCTCCCAGGTGTCTTTTATACAGGTAACAAGCTGAGATTAGGAGCACTCCCTTTTAAGAGTGTGCTCCTAATCTCAGCTCGTTACCTGTATAAAAGACACCTGTCCACAGAAGCAATCAATCAGATTCCAAACTCTCCACCATGGCCAAGACCAAAACCAAAGAGCTTTCCAAGGATGTCAGGGACAAGATTGTAGACCTACACAAGGCTGGAATGGGCTACAAGACCATCGCCAAGCAGCTTGGTGAGAAGGTGACAACAGTTGGTGCGATTATTCGCAAATGGAAGAAACACCAAATAACTGTCAATCTCCCTCAGCCTGGGGCTCCATGCAAGATCTCACCTCGTGGAGTTGCAATGATCATGAGAATGGTGAGGAATCAGCCCAGAACTACACGGGAGGATCTTGTCAATTATCTCAAGGCAGCTGGGACCATAGTCACCAAGAAAACAATTGGTAACACACTACGCCGTGAAGGACTGAAATCCTGCAGCGCACGCAAGGTCCCCCTGCTCAAGAAAGCACATATACATGCCCGTCTGAAGTTTGCCAATGAACATCTGAATGATTCAGAGGAGAACTGGGTGAAAGTGTTGTGGTCAGATGAGACCAAAATCGAGCTCTTTGGCATCAACTCAACTCGCCGTGTTTGGAGGAGGAGGAATGCTGCCTATGACCCCAAGAACACCATCCCCACCGTCAAACATGGAGATGGAAACATTATGCTTTGGGGGTGTTTTTCTGCTAAGGGGACAGGACAACTTCAACGCATCAAAGGGACGATGGATGGGGCCATGTACATGTAACATTTTTGACATGCGTTTTTCTGGATTTTTTTGTTGTTATTCTGTCTCTCACTGTTCAAATAAACCTACCATTAAAATTATAGACTGATCATTTCTTTGTCAGTGGGCAAATACTTTTTTCCCCTCACTATACTTATTTAATGTGGTAGTGGAGTAAACAACCACTTATTTAATGTGGTTTGGGAATAAACTAAGATAACATTTAGATTGTAACATCTGTCTTGACTCACATTTAATCATACAGTGAGGGAAAAAAGTATTTGATCCCCTGCTGATTTTGTACGTTTGCCCACTGACAAAGACATGATCAGTCTATAATTTTAATGGTAGGTTTATTTGAACAGTGAGAGACAGAATAACAACAAAAGAATCCAGAAAAACGCATGTCAAAAATGTTATAAATTGATTTGCATTTTAATGAGGAAAATAAGTATTTGACCCCTCTGCAAAACATGACTTAGTACTTGGTGGCAAAACCCTTGTTGGCAATCAGAAGTCAGCTGTTTCTTGTAGTTGGCCACCAGGTTTGCACACATCTCAGGAGGGATTTTGTTCCACTCCTCTTTGAAGATCTTCTCCAAGTCATTAAGGTTTCGAGGCTGACGTTTGGCAACTCGAACCTTCAGCTCCTTCCACAGATTTTCTATGGGATTAAGGTCTGGAGACTGGCTAGGCCACTCCAGGACCTTAATGTGCTTCTTCTTGAGCCACTCCTTTGTTGCCTTGGCTGTGTGTTTTGGGTCATTGTCATGCTGGAATAACCATCCACAACCCATTTTCAATGCCCTGGCTGAGGGAAGGAGGTTCTCACCCAAGATTTGACGGTACATGGCCCCATCCATCGTCCCTTTGATGCGTTGAAGTTGTCCTGTCCCCTTAGCAGAAAAACACCCCCAAAGCATAATGTTTCCACCTCCATGTTTGACTGTGGGGATGGTGTTTTTGGGGTCATAGGCAGCATTCCTCCTCCTCCAAACACGGCGAGTTGATGCCAAAGAGCTCGATTTTGGTCTCATCTGACCACAACACTTTCACCCAGTTCTCCTCTGAATCATTCAGATGTTCACTGGCAAACTTCAGACGGGCATGTATATGTGCTTTATTGAGCAGGGGGACCTTGCGGGCGCTGCAGGATTTCAGTCCTTCACGGCGTAGTGTGTTACCAATTGTTTTCTTGGTGACTATGGTCCCAGCTGCCTTGAGGTCATTGACAAGATCCTCCCGTGTAGTTCTGGGCTGATTCCTCACCATTCTCATGATCATTGCAACTCCACGAGGTGAGATCTTGCAAGGAGCCCCAGGCCGAGGGAGATTGACAGTTATTTTGTGTTTCTTCCATTTGCGAATAATCGCACCAACTGTTGTCACCTTCTCACCAAGCTGCATGGCGATGGTCTTGTAGCCCATTCCAGCCGTGTGTAGGTCTACAATCTTGTCCCTGACATCCTTGGAGAGCTCTTTGGTCTTGGCCATGGTGGAGAGTTTGGAATCTGATTGATTGATTGCTTCTGTGGACAGGTGTCTTTTATACAGGTAACAAGCTGAGATTAGGAGCACTCCCTTTAAGAGTGTTAATCTCAGCTCGTTACCTGTATAAAAGACACCTGGGAGCCAGAAATCTTTCTGATTGAGAGGGGGTCAAATACTTATTTCCCTCATTAAAATGCAAATCAATTTATAACATTTTTGACATGCATTTCTTTGGATTTTGTTGTTGTTATTCTGTCTCTCACTGTTCAAATAAACCTACCATTAAAATTATATACTGATCATTTCTTTGTCAGTGGGCAAATGTACAAAATCAGCAGGGGATCAAATACTTTTTTTCCCCTCACTGTATATTATACATTTCCCTATCCACATACGTACATATATCCACACAAAAATCACAAACACGTCCCTCCCGACTAACATCAGGTCAATTTGTTCAAATGGATACCTGGCTGTTTCGCCTACGGGCCTCTTTGGTGCGCAGTTTCTTCTCCAGATCCTGGATCAGGGCGTCCTTGGAACCCTGGATATCCTCATCCGTGTTGCGGGACCCTGGCCTAGGAACAGGAGCCTTCTTCACGGTGGGCTTGGGAAGGCTGGGGAGGGAAAGAGAACGGGAAAGCCAGAAGAAGAACATGAACCATTAATGCTAAAATCGTAATATACAGTGAATGGCAATCACATACTAGTAATATTTAGACGTTTTATTTACATTTAGAAAATATAGAAACTCACATGTTTGGGGTCCCTCTGTAGCTAGGAGGCAGAGACACACATGAGGGAGGAGGAAAGGGGGGCTGTGGCATGGAAACTGGGGGGGGAGTTGGAGAGTGGAGAGACTGACTCATAGGCAGGCTCTGTGTAGGGAGAGAGAGTCCCTGTCCCATGTGCAGGGAGGTATCAAACCTGGGCTTGGGCAGAGGGCTGGGGGGGTTGGGGGAGTGTGGGGAGCGAGCTGGGGATAGAGGCTGAGGAATAGACATGGGAGCAGGCTTGTAATGTGGGGCGGACTGGGAGGGCAGGACAGAGCAGAGGAAGGCAGCTGAAGAGGACTGGGGCTTGGGCTCAGGCGGGGCTGGGACACTGGTGTTGGCCCTGGGGGTGAGGGTGATAGTGGAGCGCATGGGGGCGCGAGAGAGGGACATGGGCTGGGCAGCAGAGGAGGGAAGAGGAGGATCACGAGGGAACACCGTCGGCTGTGAGGATGCAGGGGTAGAAATGGGGAAGTTCAGATTGGAGGAAGAGGCCTTGCTGCTGTTCCCGTTGGGCTGAGGCAGAACCTGGGCGACATCGTAGCTGGGGGCCTGAAAGGCTGGCTGAGACTGGATGAACTGGCGTGGCCGAGCATAGTTGAAGGCGCTGGGGGCGAAGAGGTTGGGGGAGAAGGTGGGCAGGTCGGCCACACTGCTGCTCATGCTGCAGCCTCCAAAGTCTCTGAGGTTCTGGAAGCTGGGCTTGCTGGGAGTGAACAGTTTGGGGGTTGTTTTTTTCCCCACGGCTGGCGGGGTTGGGGTGGTTCTGCTGGCTTCAGGTGACCTCTGACCCTCTGAGCTGTGGATACTCTTTTCACTCAGACTGAAGGGCTCCTCAAGGGTTTTACTGGGTGCCTGCAGCTCTGGACCTGGACACCTGCAAGGAAAAACTTTGGTCACTTCATTTGCATTACTCAAGTTAACTGGACAAGTGGTGACCATAGAAGCAACATTCCTTCCTACAATAAAACTGTTATACCTGTACCCACCCATGCAAAGCCTTTTTTAAAAGGTGGACAGTGCATGTTGAGTTGCCCTTTTTTGCATAGTAATAGTTAATCTGTGTTCAGTATGTTTTGTCTTGCCTTACACACTTAAAGGAAAAATGACTTGAATACAAACAATGTCCACATGACCTTCAAGAGAAGTGGACACACGTTGCTGTATGTTTCTAATAAAGTGTGAGGGGCTAAATCAGGAGGCTGACATTAGCTGGCAGGTGCAGCTCAGCTAACTCCGACACCCCGGCCCGTGTGACGAGCATTGTGGATAAGAGCAGAGCAGGCTACACTTTGTCGCCAACGACAGTCAACAGAATCACGCAGGGTCTATAAACAATACAACTTATTTCTACTCAATGCTAAAGATCATTCAGAAAGAAATGATCAAACCAAGATGATTATCTGTGGTGTAGAATAAAGGAGTTGTATCCTCTGCAGATGATTATCTGTGGTGTAGAATAAAGGAGTTGTATCCTCTGCAGATGATTATCTGTGGTGTAGAATAAAGGAGTTGTATCCTCTGCAGATGATTATCTGTGGTGTAGAATAAAGGAGTTGTATCCTCTGCAGATGATTATCTGTGGTGTAGAATAAGGAGTTGTCTCCTCTGCAGATGACACGGGGGACATAATGCAGAGTGGACATAATGCAAACCTAATCACAGTAGTCTCAAATAGTCTGCTCTCAGAATCTTAGGAAAAAGGCTAGAGTCTATGCAGTCTATTTTGGGACTTATACCTTTGTGAACCACACCACTGACACAAGGTGCCCTTTTCTATAAACCGGGGGTATTGAAAAGGGTCCGGTCCCTGCCTAGTCAAACAAACAGAAATGTGAGAGTACTGTAGATATTGGGCAATTCCACGGTAACAGAATGATGCTGAGATTCAGATTTTCCCCTTTAAAATGTATGTCAAACAAAAACCAAGGATTGCAAACAATACAAATAAACAAACCATACAAATCTATGCACAAAGAATACTGTTAACAATTTCCACTGAAAATGTAATAAAAAATAATTTGCTTGAAGAACAGTGCAGATGCAACATTTGGTAACAGAATGACAGTTCCTGCTTTTTGTGTCCTCATTCGGTTACCAAACTTAACATCTGCACTGTTCAAGTAAATGTGTTTTTGTAAAATTTTAGTGTCAGCGTCCTTCTGTTACCGTGGAATTGCCCTATTTTTAAACACCATGACAGTTGAGTAAACACACAAAACCGCAACTAACTCATGCTCTAAAGACATTCCTAAAAGCATTTACTGAACCATCAAATTCCAATGAAATCTCACATTCCAAATTCACTACAGAGCAGCACAAACACACAGACAGACCAATTCTGATATTTTTTCTACTAATTGGTCTTTTGACCAATCACATCAAATCTTTTCACATCAGGTCTTTTTCAAAGCTGATCTGATTGGTCAAAAGACCAATTAGTGGGAAAAAAGACCAGAATCGGCTGCCTGTGTGAACGCAGCCAAAGTGTCTTGAACTCTTTGGTATGCAAATTTAAATTATAGGCAAGGCTTGGATTACTATAGAGAGAGATCTCACTTTGACACTACACTTAATAAATTAAACCCTTATGAAATGCAGCACAGCCAAATACCTCCAAAAGATACAATTTAACCAACTCCCTGAGTGAATCACATATGATATGCAGACATGAATGTCAACACTAACATGGAAAGGTAATTTGCATTTACTTACTTAGAACATGACCACAGTACTTCACAAGGTTTTATATAGGCTACAAATGTATATATTTCAATCTATTATAGAAAAACACAAATCAAATACAAACGTGTATAATCAGTTGCACATGTGATAAATTCGTCAAACAATAATGCATTAAGCTTACCTGGATAACTGTTCCTAGTTTAAATATCATATGCTATTTCAACTTCAATAAAGGCTGCACCGCAGAGGAGAGTTAAATGTTTCTGATAAGAGTTGGAGTGCAACAGGTCCGTAGTAGCTTGTGTACACCCACGTCGGGTATGCAGAATGACGTGCGCGCCGACTCCCAGGTGATTTCAGTACGCGGCTGTAACGCGACCGCTGACCTGCATTTATTTTTATTTTACATGTCACAGTCGCCCCCATTCGTTGTGCCTTTCTAGCCTACACACAAGCCTTTATAATCTCCTATTTAATAACATAGTATAAACTCAGTTCCTTGCATTATCTAAAAAAATAAATAATTAAGGACAAATAGGCTAAATAATCCCCTCCCTGTTATTATAATCAGATGATAAACCATCTTCAAACCAAACAATCAGCGCTGTAAGTAATACCTATCTTAATTGAGTCCTAATTAATTAATTAATTAGTTAATGTACAAAGATAATTAGATCATACAACTTTTTTAACTGTAGCAGCCTACCAGAAACTTCAAAATAAGGCAATAGCCCCCTCTTGTGGCAGTTGAATCGAAATGACATGAGGGAAATACTGTATTTCTCTGACCTCTGCATCCCTGCCACAGCAAAGATTACATATACGATGATTCCTCAAAATCGTGCATTTGCATTATTGATAGGTATTTTGATAAATAAGTACTGTCTCACAGAACAGAATACTGGACATTCATCTCTCCATTTGAGGATTTTTGCAGAATGTTAGAATAGTTAAACTCACTGTTCTTCAAGTGGGTGACCAATCTCACAGACTGGGCTCTCAGGCCACTCTGGAGGGGGAATCCCTGCTATGTCATTAAGTAAAGAAGGAAAGTCATCAGGTTCCAGCCTGGTAGACTCTAAGGGCTGCTCATCCATGGGCATCTCATTCTCCAACTGCTCTTCCAGGTCTGGACACAGACATGGTCACATTGTCAGAATGTATTTCAAGATTCTATGTAGATTACAGTGGATGAAGAAAGCTGTGCAGAAGCATGAAAGTAGTCTTGTGTGTCTGACCAGTTCTGAAGCTAGTCTCTGCTCACCCAGGTACACCTCCAGTATGGCGTCGCATGATACTGTTCCCAACTGATTCCCAGCTATACATTTGAACACCCCAGAGTCCTCTGGGAAGGCCTCGGTGATGACAAGTGTCCACAGCTCCTCTGTAGAGGGAGGAGAGAAGGACATATCAGCACCAATGTATCAGGTTTGACTGGTCATCTTATAGTGGTAAACAGTGGTAAACAGTGGTAAATGTGTCCTTCAATAGCCAACAGTGGGCCTTGGGTATGCTTTCCAACCCACCTGGCACTGATGCAGAAGTAGCCTCTGAAAAAGAAGTAGAAAGTTTAGAGCATTTCTATTTAGTGCCTCAAAGGTAATTATTGGTCTGTTTCCCACTGTGAACTACTGCTACTCACTCTTTCTGAGGATGTGGAAATCAGCGGAGTCCACTATCTGCTCGTCCTCACGGTACCACAGAACCTGCAGTGGTGGCGTTCCACGAATACGGCACTCTAGAACCACCAGCTGACCCTTGACCGTGCTGACGTCATGGAGACACTGGACACAGGAGAGAAGTGGATCAAAGCTAATGGCTGCTGACACCAACATACCATCAAGCTCCTCCTCCCTCCTCTCTCAACCTCTCTCCTCACCTCAGCCCTCTGCACATACAGTGTGTATCCAGCTGTTAGTAATTTAATAGATGCTCTTATCCAGAGCAACTTACAGTAGTGAGGGCATTCATTTTCATACTTTTTCGTAGCTGTTTAGGGCACAATCAAGGATGCTTTTGACACATTTTTGACCTCTGACAACAATTAAGACAATGGTCTTTGTCATGTTCTGACAGATAGCTGCCTATGACATCATAAGGAACTTGAGTAGGTGTATATCCATTTTAAAGACAAGGATCAGGCCACTGATGTAAGGAGGAAGGACCCTTCAGGAAATGTATGTAGGGCCAAGCCAACCCGAACCAGTTCCATATTCAATCACCAGATGGGGTAAAGATGTATTCTGTGCTTTATTACCTTGACAAAAGTTGGGGCCACGCCACCACTCCCTGAATACTGTTGGGGGTAGGATGGACTCTGTGTCTAGAAACAAGAGAACAACATATCTGTAGATTCCAAAATACAAAGTAGCACTGTCAATATGCTGTCTGTGCGTACATAATATTATATTATATTATATGCCATTTAGCAGACGCTTTTATCCAAAGCGACTTACAGTCATGCGTGCATACATTTTTGTGTATGGGTGGTCCCGGGGATCGAACCCACTACCTTGGCGTTACAAGCGCCGTGCTCTACCAGCTGAGCTACAGAGGACCACATAACATATCATCAATGTTGATAAGGTGCAGTTGAAGCTTTTTTCTGCTATTGAATGTGTATATCGTGTGTGTTTTGGAGGTGTGACAAGCTTGGTGTGTATGTGGAGTGTGTGTGTGTGTGTGTGTGCGAGTGAGTGTGTGTGTGTGTCAGGTACCCTCTGGGGGCTGATACAAAGGGGCTGCACCAGGCTGGAGTGTCTCTGCTGCTGGACCACAGTGGAGGAAGAGGATGAGGAAGAGGAGATTGCTTTGGAGGAGCTGGAGATGGTCAGGGACATGGTGCTGGTCTTCTTCTGGATGCTTCACACACACACACACAGACACACACACACACACACCAAGATGGTGTGCAATCACACGGTTGTCTCAATGTCATTCCAATATCTCAATATCTTATGTAAAATTATGTACTGGTTTACATTGAAAACTTTTCAGTCTAGTCATTAATGTCCTTTCAACCTACTGTGCCATGTTTCAGGCCTTTCCAGGGGGTGTCACTGTGTCCAATAGCTGCTGATTTCTATACAGAGGGGAGGGAGTATGAGCATGAGCTGTTATACACCCATATCATTATTTCAATCAAAACACCATAGGTCCTAAAGCTAACACCATTCAATCCTCCACCAGACCAACTGAAGATGTTATTCTCTACACTATGCGTGTGGCAGGTAGCCTAGTGGCTAGGAGTGTTGGGCCAGTAACCAAAAAGGCTGCTGGTTTGAATCCCTGAGTTGACTAGGTGAAACAATCTGTCGATGTGCCCTTGAGCAAGGCACTTAACCCCAATTGCTCCAGGGTAGCCGTCAATAATGGCTAGCCCCATGCCGTGATCCCACTCTCGGAGGGTTTCTCAGGAGGAGCTGTGCAAAAAAACCACATTGCCATTACACACTTGTACATGCAGTGAAACAGGACAAATGAACAAAAGTGCTGGTTTCATGAGCTGAAATAAAAGATTCCAGAAATGTACCATTCGCACAAAAAGCTTATTTCTCTCAAATGTTTTGCACAAATTTGTTTAAATCCCTGTTAGTTAGCATTTTATCCTTTGTCAAGATAATCCATCCACCTGACAGGTGTGGCAAATCAAGAAGGGGGGGGGGGGGGGGGGGGGGGGGGTGCGGAGGAGTATTTCTGTCTCTAATCAAGCCCTTTTGTGGGGAAAAACTCATTTTGATCGGCTGGGCCTGGGTGGACCTATGCCCTCCCAGGCCCACCCATCGCTGCGCCCCTGGGCCTAATGAACGTATTTCAATTGACTGATTTCCTTAAATGAATTGTAACTCAGCAACATCTTTGAAATTGTTGCATGTTGCGTTTATATTTTTGTTCAGTATATAAACACCCCCTATTTGACCTTACAAATGAAACATCCAAGGACACTGCACCTTGAGATCCTGTTTTAATGTGACATGCCTAGTTTAAGTATCTGTGTGTGTGTTGCGTCAAAAGCCAACGACTGAGTGATCATCATGGTGTGTAAAGGTTACATAATCTATCCATCTGAAGGATCATGTTGTTTGACTCAGAAAGGCACTGTTCATCTCCTTTAATCTCCCACAATCACCGTGCTGATGGATACTGGCATGAGCCTCTGTCTATTTATACAGAAAGGGGATCCCATTGGCCCACAGAGGGAGCTCAGCTTGGGGCCAAGACTCTGCAACAATGTAAATCATGTGCTGTTGACTGACCCAACTCAGAAATATGGTACTGCAGGTTATTCCTGTGGAATACGGACGCAATCCATGCAACAGTTTATTCTGGTCTTTATCAGAATTAGTTCCAAAGACAGAGAACCATTCTATTTGATGGCATTTCATATAACTGTATCTATCTGGAGATGCTTCAGTGTTTGCCAGGAGATGTGTCAGTGTTTGCCAGCATCTCAAACTCCCCCGCCCACACAATACAACAGCGTTAGGGAAAGGTTCAACACTCCATCAGAGTAGCAACATGACACTTCTAAATGCTTCACATGAAAACAACAACACATCTCACTGCTTAGAGACACACTGCTAAGAGGAGGACAACCATCACACCAGAAACACTAAAGACACACTTTTTCTTCTTCCTAGCCAAGCACTGAGACATTTACTGATTGTACCAGATCAAATTTGACCAGGACAAGCAGATAAGCTAGCGAGAAAAGCCTCCACCATGTCACAGAGTTGTAAGGAAAACTGACATGGGTATGAGGTAACCCCAACATTCCAGAGGGATGGGGTTGTTAGTGTGTGTGGCATTTGACCCTTAAAACAGAGGCTCCATTTAACGACAGACAGACTGATAGGATTGAGTCAGGAGGGAAACCCGTCTGGTCGTCAGGGAGATATCTTCTTCTGACCACCCAGTCAGATGATCTGATGATTAATCTCCTCATCATATCAGATATGCGACATCTAACAAGTGGGCTTGTTTCAGACACGTAAACCTTTCCATATGACACTCTGCTTTCACCCAGGCCAGCATGGTGCATGGTATTCTCAGTGTGCCCTGCATGAGATCCGGTGACTGGGCCTCCACCACCTATCGACGCCCTGGGCCTGGACGACTGGAGAGGGTTAGTGTCACGGTTTCGGCCGAGGCTGCTCCTTCTCCTTGTTCGGGCAGGCTTCGGCGGTCGTCGTCTCCGGAGTACTAGCTGCCACCGTTCTATGTTTCGATGTTTGATTGGTTTTGTCTGTTTTGTTACACCTGTTCCTTGTTAGTGTTAATTATGCGTCCTATAAGTTCTCTTGGGTTTTGTCTTGTGTTGTGTGTAATTGTTCGTGTCATGTTGGGATGCTAGTTCGTTTATTTCTCTCTGTGTTGTTTTTGTAGAGAGTTCCACACAGTGTGTGCCTTAGTTTGTACTTGTAAACTTCGCTTGCCTGCCAGGTTGTATTTGGCCGTGTTTGGCTTGTTCTTTTTTGTCTTCACTAAAGACTTTAGTACGAAGCCTCTGTGTGTCCTGCGCTTGATTCCACACCACATCTACACTCAACCTTGACAGTTAGCTACTAGCTAGAGGGAAGCTTCAGGATGAGAGGAAACCCGAGCTAAGCCACAGTCTAAATTTGTTTAGCCTTCTGTGAGTTGGATTTAGAAACACATGGCCTAAGATAAATCTTCCCTCCTCCTGTTCTGGAATGTCCACTGGAGACAAAGTGCCGTCCCAAATCCATAGTGGGCTTAATTCGCATATTCACACTGGCAGTTGTCGTCATAAGAAACAACATATTTTTAGAGGCAAAGGTAAAGGAGGGAACATGAATGTAGAGGCCTTAAATTCACACCTTCTCCTCTACACATTACCAGAGAGAGTTGGGACATTGGACAGCTTTGGAGTGTTTAGAGGCATCACGTAAACAAGTACCGTCTCAATAGAAATGAATGCCCCCTGAAACTACAGGCACATGAAATGGCCTTCTCTTTGCTAAGGTCTTATTTCAGCTTTATTCAGTACCATTAACATTCAGCCACTTTCTCATCAGATATAGAAAATTGTGATTAGGTCTGCCAAACTGATCATTCAGTTTTGAAGGTCTAACACGGCATGTTCCTTGAATGTAGCGTTCCATCAGTTTGCTTTATCTGTCTTCCACAGTCATCTCCCATTGTAGTCTGCTGCCTCCAGGTGCCTTCTGTTTGTACTACAGCTGGCTCTTTAATACAGACTCATATCAATGTCCAGTCATGGAGTACATTCCATCCCAACCATCACAACACAGCTCAGTAATGATACCGCAGGCAGCTACTGTCCAGCAGGAGCTTATGTACCAGGGAGGATGCTGAAATCCTGTTCCAGTAGTTATTTAGAGGGATTTCCTGACAAAATGTCAAAAATATAAAACACTTAGAGAGTGTCATTTCCCCAAATGTGAAACCCTTATTCAAGGTTTCAAAGACCTCTCTGATGAGAATAGGCTACCCGTCCTGCTGGGGGAGGAAGCAGAGAGCTATGGGTTGGCAGCGCACTACATTGCTGCCTGTCATAAGATGAGGGACAGTGTCTGACAGACCAACCAACCTGCACATGTCCTCTATGCTTAATGTTATTGTTCAATGTATGGTTATTTTGACCTTTGATTATTGTTGTTAATGTTGTCCCGTTGACAATATTGATGATTATTATTTTAATTATGTTAATATTGTAAATCTCCAAAGTAAGCTTTGGCAATCTGTACATTGTTACGTCATGCCAATAAAGCAAATTGAATGTAATTGAATTGAATAGATAATCAGGGTAGTGATCCAGGCACGTTTTGTCATGTGACATTCTGGGGATTCCCTTGTTGAAAAGATATAAAAAGATCTGCAAGTCATCATTCAGGCCCCGGAAATGTTTTGGTTGCGCAAGGCCCCTGAGAATCTAGTAAAGTTTCTAAAACCAACTGCTATGACTGATATTGTACCGCGTGGCTCACTTGGTAGAGCATGGCACTTGCAACGGCAGGGTTGTGGGTTTGATTCCCACGGGGGACCAGTATGAAAATGTCTGCACTCATTACTGTATTTTGCTCTGGATAAAATAGTCTGTAAATTACTAACATTTTAAAGATTGTGAAACAATCGTGGGCTTTAATATTTGTTGACTGTGTTCTAATCATCAAGCCATTGCACAAGTCAACAGGTCTTGGAATTGTCTACACAGGGACCGATTTAGAGGGAGAACCACATGATCCCTGGGGGACAATCAGAGCTCTCAGTTTGCAGAGTGCATTGCAGAAGCATGTTTGGTCTGGCCAAATGCCCCTTCCATCACCCCCAACTCCACCCTGGAATGCCAACCCACTGGGCACAAATTGGTTGTTTCAACGGAATTTGTCAATGTATTGTGATGTGGAAAATACATTGGATTTGAAAAAAGTCACTGTTGTTTTCAGGGTGAAATTTCAACATCATCATGGTAAACAAATTTCAAACCTTGTATAAAATATGTTGAAGTTGTACCTTTAAAGCAACGTTAGATCTTCAATGTTATATCCACTATCAGAAGAAAAATGTCTGGGCAGCACCTCCTACTGGAGAAATTATATATCTACAGTTACCCTTTGGTCTCCCATCCAGGGTTTTAACCAAGCCCTGCTTAGCTGTAATAGTTGTTCCTGACTATTACCAATTGTGAGAATAGTAAGAAGTTTTGAAGAGAGATCTCAACTAAATCACTGCTGCTTTCAAAGTCATTCCAAAGGGTAGGTTTAACAGAGCAAATGAAATGTAACCAAACTTGAATAGTCATATATCATCAATGATACTATTTAGGCCTATATAGCATTTGTAAAGTCATCACCAGCTATTGTTTCAACCCAGAATTC